AACTGGAGAAGATAACAAAATACAACGACCTACAAATAGAAATAGACAGACTGTGGCAAAAGCAAGCAAGGGTAGTACCAATAGTCATAGGCTCCTTGGGTGCAATCCCAAAACAACTGGAGCACCACTTGAACACCATTGGCATTGACAAATTTGCTATTAGTCAATTGCAAAAGGCGGCCTTATTAGGAACTGCTTCCATCCTGCGACTATATCTGTAATACCATCAAACATCCACATCTGCCTATCCCAGGTCCTGGGTAAGGACTCGATAGGTAGACAAAATGCCAAATCCAGTCTGAACATCTGGCTGACTGTGCGATGATCGATAATAATAATAATAATAATAATAATAATAATAATAATAATAATAATAATAATAGTAGTAGTAATGAAGTTGGAAGGGACCTTGGAGGTCATCAATTCCAACCCCCTGCTCAGGCAGGAAACCCTATACCATTTCAGACAAATGGCTGTCCAGTCTCTTCTTAAAAACTTCCAGTGTTGGAGCATTCACTGCTTCTGGAGGCAGGTTGTTCCACTGGTTAATTTTTCTAACTGTCAGGAAGTTTCTCCTTAGTTCTAGGTTGCTTCTCTCCTTGATTAGTTTCCATCTGTTGCTTCTTGTCCTGTCTTCAGGCGCCTTGGAAAATAGCATGACTCCCTCTTCTTTGTGGCAGCCTCTGAGATATTGGAACACTGCTATCATGTCCCCCCTCGTACTTATCTTCATTAAACTAGACACACCCAATTCCAGCAGCCTTTCCTTATATCAGTGGTGGTGAACCTATGACATAGGTGCCAGAGGCGGCACTCGGAGTCCTCTCTGTGGGCACATGTGCCGTTGCCCCAGCCTTGCCTCCCCCTGCGACCCCCTCACCAGCAGCCCCCCTGGAGAAGAGTCGCCCCCAAGTGTGGCCCACATGCAGCAGCTCAGCCAAGGACATGGCAGCCAGGCAGCATAGACAAGACTCTGCCTTCACGCCCCATCGGGCACAGTTGATGCTGCAGGGTGCAGGGAGAGGGCATGGCCGCCATGGCACTGCTGGGCTGCCTGGGCGATCTGCGGCGGGCCCTGGAGGCGGTGAGTGGTCCTGCGGGCAGGCAGGGTGGGGGCGGGGCAGGCGGTGGAGCAGGGGCAGGGCCAGTTTTTGGGCACTCGGTCTCTAAAAGGTTCACCATCACTGCCTTATATGCTTTAGCCTCCAGCCCCCTAATCATCTTTGTTGCTCTTCTCTGTACTTTTTCTAGAGTCTCAACTTCTTTTTTACATTGTGGTGATCAAAACTGGATGCAGTATTCCAAGTGTGGCCTTACCAAGGCATTATAAAGTGGTATTAATACTTCACGTGATCTTCATTCTATCCCTCTGTTAATGCAGCCTAGCACTGTGTTGGCCTTTTTGGCAGCTGCAGCACACTGCTGGCTCATATTTAAATGATTGTCCACTAGGACTCTGAGGTCCCTCTTAGCAGGATATTCTAAAAAAATATGGCCAATATATCAGAGTTCATAAGGTGAACAAAAGATGGGATGTTCATTTTTTTTTCAACCATCCATACCCAGCCCTGCCCCAGCTTTGCCCTTTCTTGTACAGATTCACTGGTGGTCTACAGCTTCTTTAAAACTTCCCCATAGTTCTATTTATCAAACTGATTGCTGAGATTATGATTTTTTTATGCTTGGAAAAACTAGCAAAATAGCCTCCGTGAACACTTCAACCGACATCTGTTTTTATTGACAAACTTATTTATTACTTTCCTGGGGCTTATATGCCACTCCCACCCAACAGGAATGTAAACAGTTTACATTCCCCTTGATAGTAAAAGCATTAAAACACAATAACATTATAAAAAATGAAATAATAATATAAAGTAATAACTTTTATTATTTTTTTATAATAAAAAAACCCATAAAGCCTGGCATTCTCTCACCAATCCCAGCAATTCCCTTAACCTGCATGTTTTACTGGGAAATAAAAGGGGGGAAATGATAAGAAGGATATATAGTCTGTTGTGCCATCTCTTGGCACTGTAATGTTGAAGCCTGTGACTAGGAAGATCAGCTCTTCCTCTGCCTCCTCCTTTGTGGGGAGAGAGACCAATGTGTTGCTCCTTTGAGATAGGCCAGATTAGGAAACAGACAACACAAGGGTTAGAGGAATGTTACTTTATTTTATAATAACAGAACTGAAAATCTACTAAACAAGCACAAAATGAAGTTTCTAAAGATGTTTTGCTCTTCTCTTCCCTTTTCCCAAGACTGAGTTGAAACACTTGTAACACTTCTTGTTTCCAATACTACAGATGCATTTTCTGAGTGATGTTTTTTGTTTTAGGTTCCTTCCCTTTTCTGAATATGTGCCATAGGAAGGAGATTATTATTTGATACATTAATATGTGATAGAATATTGATATATTTGCATGGTAGACAGGACAGGACAGTGCAGAGAGTGGTAAAGATGGCAGAAAAGATTATTGGTTGTTCACTCCCTTCTATCCAGGACACAGCATATAAGCCAGTGGTGGCGAACCTATGGCACGGGTGCCAGAGGCGGCACTTGGAGCCCTCTCTGTGGGCACATGTGCCGTTGCCCCAGCCTTGCCTCCCCCGTGACCCCCTCCTCTCCAGCAGCCCCCCTGAAGGAGAATCACCCCTGAGTGTGGCCCACGCGGAGCAGCGCAGCCAAGGACATGGCAGCCAGGCAGCGTAGGCAAGACTCTGCTCTCACACCCCATCGTGCACAGTTGATGCTGCAGGGCGCGGGCAGAGGGCGTGACCACCATAGCACTGCTGGGCTGCCTGGGTGATCTGCGGCGGGCTCTGGAGGCAGTGAGTGGCCCTGCAGACAGGCAGGGCGGAAGATGGGGGGACGGAGTGGGGCGGGGCAGGGGGTGAAGTGGGGGCAGGGCCAGTTTTTGGGCACTTGGTCTCTAAAAGGTTCGCCCTCACTGATATAAGCGATCTTGAACAGGGTCCGCAGGATTGTCTGGGACACTACGTATTCACTTCATGACCTGTTTTCCTTGTTACTTTCTGAAAGGAGGCTTTGTGGTATCTGAAGCACAACATCGAGATTCAATCAGAGTTTTGTTCCATATAGTATCAACTTTGTGAACTCTCAAGTTTCCTCTTTCCACTATGTATTCAAGATGGACAATGATTAATATTGTGTGTGTGTGTGTGTGTGTGTGTGTGTGTGTGTGTGTGTATATATATATATATATATATATATATATATATATATATATATATATATATATCATGTGCATATGTGTGTTATGTATGTATATGGGTAGATATATACTTTGTTTTGAGAGCAGGCAACAGAATTTCATTTTTAATGTGAGCCAGTGTGCTCACAGTAAAAAAATGACAATAAAAGTTATCTTATCTTGTATGTGAAAGTGCAGTTTTAATAAACTTGTATTTCTGAGCAATGTCAGCTTATCTGATCAGTTGGATAAATTAATTACTGAAAAGAACATTTTGATAGATTAAGAGGTTTCCAAAATTTTACACTAAATACAACATTAATACATTATGTGTAATATAGGTATGCATATTCAGCCTAGAGGGAAATTATTAATGCCATTTCGTAGAACTCTGTCAGTGCCTTAATGTTCTGGATGAAATGATTGACAGGATGACTATCAAATTTGCAAATGACACGAAACAAGGAGAGGCTAACATTCTGGAAGAGAAAGAGAAAATCCCAAATGATCTAAATAGGCTTCAGCAGCAGGATGATACAACAGGATGAAATCTAAGAGAGAAACGTAAAATGCTCCATCTGGGGATAAAAAGAAAATGAAAAGTGCAAGGATTGAAGAGACCTGGTTTGGAAACAGTACAGGTAGTCTTCAGATTACAATGACAATTGGACTAGGATTGCCATCAGTAAACTATGTGGTTGTAAAGCATGGCATCACATGACTGCATTGCTTAGCAGCAATCATGGCAATTCTGGTACCATTGTAAACAGAATACACAGGGATTTTTAACCAGGAAGCAGTGGGAATCCTATGTAAGGAGCATGGGGCTGCCATGGGGGGTGGGGGAGACCTGGGAAGCCCAGCACTAGGCTTATGTAAGCCCAGGGGATTTACTGGAGTAATCTGCGACCTTCTCTGCTGGCTTCCCCTTTGACTTATGGGGATGATAATCATGTGACCATGGAGCATTACAACCATCATAAGTGCAAGCTGCTGGCCAAACACCCAAATCACGGTCATATGACTATGGGGGTGGTGGCATGGCCAGAATTTTGAGGAGCAGTTGTAAGTACCACTCATTCAGCATCACTGCAGCTTCAAGCAGTTGCTGAATGAGTGATGGTCAGTAAGCAAGGGCTACTATTGTAGGAGAAAATGATCTGGATACAGTGGTGGGATTCAGCTGGTTCGCACCACTTGGGCAGAACCGGAAGCTAATTTTTTGTTGCTCAGGCCCAGACTGGACTTCCGGAAGCGGCATCCACACGGAGAGCCGGTTGTTCGCATATTTGAATCCCACCACTATCTGGATGTTCCAACCAATCACAGACTGAATATAAGCCAACAATGTGATATATCTTCTAAAAAGGCAAATGCTATTTGGGGACATATTAAAAATAAATCAGAATAAGTAGAAAGTAATTATCCCACTCTTTTTATCCTTGGTCAGAACTCACTAGGAATATTCAGTTCTAAGCACCACAATCTAAAAAAAAAAAAAAAAATTGGGAACCTGGATCCAATTTAGAGCATGGCTATCAATCTGAGGAGGCAGCTGGTTGCGTTTAGTTTGCAGAAGGGAAAACTGAGCAGAGATACGACAGCAGTCTTCAATATTTAACGGTATTGTTAAATTACACTGTTCTCCTTTTCCTTTTTTGAAATAAAAAGTATGATGGATTAAGAGCAGCAAAGCTACCTAACGTGGAAAATAAATCTCTGAATATTACACAGCAAAATATGTCAAGGTAAAAAAGAAAGAAACCTTCGCTTTCTTACGTTTACCTTTTTCTCATTGGACAAAGCTGCGACCCGTGATTGCCTTGGCTTCTCTATCATATCGGCCCTTAATAGCCGGGACTCAGATCTGCGGCAGCGAGGGAGGTTGTTTTCCCCTCTCTCTCCCCCCTCTCTACACCACGAGGGGGCGCTGTGCTCTGCTCCGCGATCGCTATACTCCGGAAGACGGCGCTCCTCTTCTCACTGTAGAATTTTTCTCTCCCGCTCGTATGGCAGGAAAAGGCGGAGATTGAGGATAGGTAGCCACGTTTGAATAACAAGCCTCCCTATTGGTAATCATTCTGAGGTTACCCAATAGGAGAACTCCTTGCTTGAATGTGGGCCGTCTGAAAGCGCCATCTTACTTTTTGTTAGAGTGCTGAGCTGTACGTTCCCGGTCTGAGCGAACGGGACGCAGCTATGCCGCTTTATCAGACCTGGGAGGAGTTCACTCGCGCAGCGGAGAAACTGTATCTGTCCGATCCTATGAAGGTACTTGGGCAGTGGAGGTTGTTTGAGGCGTGGAGGGTCGGTGAAGGAGAGGTCGGCGGGAATTCGCTCAGAAGTTGAGTAGAGGGAAGAGGGGTTGGTAGGTGTTGGGAGTCTCTGGACTTGCATGGTTTGGGGGTATTTGTTGCCAACTTAGTATGAGCCACTAGTCCAGTTTTCCAACTCTAGTGATGCCGAAGTAGTAATAATTGCTGGCTTTTCTGAAGTTGGCAACTATAGAAAAGCTTTAATCTCGCTCAGAATGGGAAGGTTGGACTAGATGACCTCCAAGGTCCCTTCCAACATTATTATTATTATTATTATTATTATTATTATTATTATTATTATTAATTATTAAAGTTTTGATTTTTTTGCGGTGTATTGAATTTGTGACAGTTGAGCTTATCGCATATCTATGCATCTCTCTTTATCATGTTTCCTCGCTGGAGTAAATTTGGAAGTAACTCTTCTGATAGTGTTACAGTAAATAGTAAATATGTTTCAGTGGTAGGAAGTCTTCCAAACTTCTAGTGTTTTTAGTATTTGAATATCAATATTTCACTATTGGATTAAGATTCTTTTGTAGCGATTGTTGTAGTGAGTTGTTCAAAACCTAGACAATCAGCTCCTGTATGCTTATGCAGCAATATATAAAGGAGATCCATTTATTGGTTTTGTTCATTTCAAGTGTGCCTTGGTTGGGAGTACTCATCTAATGAAAAAGGGCTAAAGGTTGAAATGCTGTGTGTAACTGGCACTAACGCAGGTTTGCAAATAGCCATGTTTTTTCACCTTTAAAATTAACTTGTGAAAGTGTATCTGTATTGATGCTATTTTATTTTTCTATAAAATGATTTTTGTGTCATTTCAGGTCCGAGTCGTACTCAAGTACCGACATTGTGATGGGAATCTGTGTATTAAAGTAACAGATGATGTTGTTGTAAGTAAAACTTCAGTGATACGATTTACAATTTTAAATTCTCAGAGTCCAAACCAAATTTTCAATATTGTTTTAGGAGAAAAACTGGTTAATGTATCAACTGATTTGCTGAATACTTCTCAGAGAAGCAGTTGTGTAAACCTAGAGGTATTCAAATGATTTTTATAATATACGTTGTTTTTAGAGTTAGTGCTTTAGCATTTTAAAAGCAGTACCTCAGAATAAATGTGAATTTTAGAATCCTAATGCCCAAAGTTATGTATAGTGAGCAGCCATACAAATCTTTTAAATAAATAACCATATAAATTTAAAACAGCATTTACCTTCTGTTTCACACAAAATCAAAGGCTCTGCCTTAGGCCCAGTATTCAATAGCTTCATAAATGATTTAGATAAGGGGATAGATTTGCAGACAGCACCAAGCTGGCAGGAATGGCAACACCCCAAAAGATAGGGTCAAAATCCAGATGGATCTTCACAGACTTAAATACTGGGCCCTATCTAACAAAATGAAATTCAGTGGTGAGAAAAGTAAGGTTCTACATTTAGGCAAGAAAAACCAAATGCCAAGAATCAAATAGGTGGTATCTGGCTCAATAGTACAGTAGTAACTGTGAAAGGGATCTTGGAATCCTAGAGGACAGTTACTTAAATATGAACCAGCAGTGCGTTTCAGTCAATAAAAAGACTAACACAGTCCTAGGCTGCATTAACAGAAGGATAGAATCAAGATCACACGAAGTGTTAGTACTGCTTTATAATGCCTTGGTAAGGCCACACTTGGAATACTGCATCCAGTTTTGGTTGTCATTATATAAAAAAAATGTTGAAATTCTAGAAAGAGTCCAGAGAAAGATGGAAACAAAGATGAATTAGGAGATTGGAGTCCAAAACATATGAAGAACAGTTGCGGGAATTGAGTATGTCCTTAATAAAAAGAAGGACTAGGAGTGACATGATAGCAGTATCCCAGTATCTGAGGGGCTACCACAAAGAAGGGGATCAATCTATTCTTCAAAGCATCTGAAGACAGAACAAGAAGCAATGGGTGGAAATTAATCAAGGAAAGAGCCAAACTAGAAATAAGGAGAAATTTCCTGACAGAACAGTCAGTGGGATGACTTGCCTTCAAAAGTTATAAGTGCTCCATCGCTGGATATTTTCAAAAAGAGATTGGATACCCAGTTGTCTGAAATGGTATAAGATCTCCTGCTTGAGCAATGGGTTGGATTAGAAGACCTTCAAGGTCCCTTCCAGTTCTGTTATTCTGTTATTTATTAGGGAAGTGTGATCCTTGCATATATTTCATATATCTTTTTAAACTGCTGAGAACATTAATGTTTTAGACATCCTGGTTAGAGATAGCTGATTCTGCTTAAACTTTGCACTAAAGAATAATTTTAATTATTTCAAAGATCCATACTATCCTTTATGATCTTCCAATAGTGAGTAACCAGCTGCCTAGGATGTGAAAGTGGTTTATTTTGTCCCAATTGTCAGTGAAAAGTTTGAGCCCCCAAGATTAAGTAATACTATTAAATTATAAGGTCTGTACAATTTCAAAGCAGCAGTGAATATTCCCAAGTACAGAGTGAATATGTTTTGAAAGGCAGTTGAACACAGGGAAGCATATTCAGATAGTGCTTGGTAAAAAAAGTATCATGAAGTTGATAGTTAAACCCCTTTTAAGTATATGCAAAATCAACTTAAGAGTGGTATAAAACAAAAAACTCTTCCCTCCAAAATCTTTATTTTTTAAAAAATGTTGGGTATTTAGATCCAGATGAAGCTGTCTGCTCTAAATAGAAATTGTTAAACAGAAATATTTATAATATATATTTGCTATTCAGTTATTTCAGCTATAATCTTTACATTATTCTAGCGTGTAATTTGTATGCATATTTGTAAGCATATTTATTAAATGGTTCAAAAATTATGAGAGAGTTTACCTTTGATTTAATTATACATGTTGATTATTGCGTTACACATATAACACAAAGTGCTGATCTAGATCAACCAGCAGGATTCATATTAATGTTATTAATAATCTGACACAGTTGGAGGTGGAACATGGCTGAATTTGGAAAAGCTACCCAGAGTCATACCTGGTTAATGCTGACTTAGGCGCCACTAAAAAATCCCAAGACAATAGATAGAATATTGAAATAATATCCTGGTAGAAAGTAAGATCAGACTAGATTAATATTGTTGCAAAGCAAACTACATGAAAGTGCCTATTTAGTCACTGGGAGTCCACCTTTCCTCAAACATGTCCTTACTTTAAAAAAATAATAATAATCTGCTTCTGAGCAATTGCACTTCCTTTTTATATATTTTGTCTTCATAATCACTGCTTCTCCTTTATTAGGTCTTTCAGGCCATAACAGTTTAATTTACATTGTAAACTTATATTTTAGCAGTTGTTTTATGTCCTCATGATATGAGAGTAAAGAGCAAGATTTGTGTTTTAGACTTTTAAAAACATTTTGATTATGTGCCATCAAGACAATGTTATCTCTGAGTGATCACATAGATAGACCTCTCCTTTAATCTAATTCCAGCCTGGCGCTTCAGGTCTCCCAAAAGTACACCTATTGCTGTAGTAATCAAGTCCACTCACCTTGCTGTTGGTTATCTTCTTATTTTCTCTTTTTTTCTTATGGACATCTGAACAGAGCACAGTCTGCTTAATGTATCCATAATATGATTATTTGAACCAGGTCATTTGTGCCTTGAGTGAAAACTATGATCATTCCAAGATTTTCATAGCCACCTTTCCAAGTTCTATAGTGAAAGCTGATCCTTTTATTGTTCATCATCGATTCTGAAAGGCAGAAGCTATCCACCACATCACTGTCTTCTTTATCAATTCTAAGGCTGATTGCTTTATCATTTGTTTGGTCTTTATGTTTAATTTTAGGCCCTTTTTTCACTCTGCTCATTGACTTCCATTACTAGAACTTCCAGATCATTTGCACTTACATCTATCACACTAATATCAGCATAGTGCAGATTATTGATATTTCTTCCTACAATTTTAAATGCTCCTCTTCTTCCAGTCCAGCCTCACCCAATATATTTTGCACATGTAGGTTGAATAAATAGAGAGTATATAGCCTTATCTTATTCCTTTGCAAACCTAAAATAAGTCTTTTTGATTATGTTTTGTATAGACTGGCTTTCCTTCCTGTGTCATATAAAGTATGTATGGGCTTTGTGTGAAGAAGTTGAGATGTTTTGGGATTCCCATTTTCCTAAGGACATTCCATAACATGACACGGTTGACATAATTGAAGGTCTTTCTATAATCAATGAAGCATATATTGATTTATTTTTGGTGTTGTTTGACTTTTTCAGTTAACCAGGGTGCATCAACAATGATGTCTATTCTTCCTTTCTATTGTTCTTTTCTAAAACCAGCTTCATCATCCCACATTTCCATGTAGGGCTGTAGCTTGCAGAGAAAGTTATTTTGCTAACATGCGTATTGTATGATAATTTGCACATTCTGTTAAAGTCTTCTTTGACTGTGGTATATAGACTAAGCTCCAATATATTGACCAGTATGTCAGTTTCCAGATTTGCTGGTATAGTTGAGTTGTCTTCTGTTGCTTCTCATATTTCTGTAGGCATTCCATCAATACCTGTAGCCTTTTCACTTAGTAATGACCATTGTGCTCATCTAATTTCATTTGGTTGTATTAGCACAGTGATGGTGAGCCTTTTAGAAACCGAGTGCCCAAACTGTAACCCAAAACCCACTTATGTATTGTCGGGTGCCGGGTGGGTGTGGCCATTAGCTGGATGTGGCCCATTGGCCGAGTGTGGCCCATTGGGTGGGCGTGGCTGCGGTGGTAACAGCAGACTGGGTGGGACTAAAAAGTTCAATCAATCAATTCCAACTTTGCAAGATCTTTTTTTTTCCCGCAAGAAGTTGAAATTGACTGATTGATTGAACCTTTTTTTTTTTTTGCACATGGTGGCAGAGGCCTAAAGCGAAAAGGTTTTATAAAACCCAGCTGAAGGCCTAGGACTGGGGCAACGGCGTGCATGCCCACAGAGTGGGCTTTGAGTGCCACCTCTGGCACCTATGCCATAGGTTCGCCACCACTGTACTAGCAATTCATATGAACAAGGAGTATCTTCTTAAGTCCTTTAGTTGTGTGAAATATGTACAGAATTTCAGTACTGTATACAGTAGTCCCCAAATTGATAGTCGTTACTTGGGCCTGGCAATTAGAGTTCTAAATTGTGTTGGTCAGAAAGTGGGTCACCATGTGAACTGAACCAATTCACCTTTTTCATGGTGGTAGTTAAGAAAATTGTGCAGCCATTAAGCAAATGCTGCAATTATTTATTGTTTACTATGGAACAGTTTTTTGCTGGAAACGGGAAGTAAATACTGGTTTTCAGCAAGACCATTGTAAATCGTAACCATATGTCCACTGGGCGCTGCAAGCGGCTGTAAATGTGGGCTGCTTGCTGAATGCTCAAAATGCGATCATGTGGGAAGGGGAGATGATGTTGGAACTTTGAAACTGTGTCATAAGAAGCTTTGGGGGGGGGGTGTTCCATTAGAACTTCAAATGGTCGGTAAGTGACCAGTTGTAAATCAAGGAGTTCCTGTATTTCTTCTATATAAATTTGACTTCTTTGAATCTGTTACTATCCATCCATTGATACCCTTGAGCATATCAGCTTGAGATTGGAATCTCCTGAGTTTGAGGTTCTTTTGGAAGACCTTTCTTTATCCCATTACTGCTTAAATCTTTAGTATCTTTATAGATGTCATTGTAACATGGTTTCTTGTTGTTTTTTTTAAAAAAATAGTTCTCTGAAATTGTTAAATATGTTCTTGAGATCTTTTGATATTCTTGGCTTTAACTTCACTTCTTGACAATATCTGTCATCTATTGTGATATCCGTTTTGATTTTTTCTGTTTCTTGGTGATTTCCTTTCAAATTTTCAAACTTATTTATTTTATTTTATTTATCATATTTAACACCCACCCATCTCTGTCACAGAGGGAGCTGGGCAGTGTACAATAAAATTTAATTTCACAGTTCCTCTGGTTGTCAATGAGGTTCAGAGTTTTAAAATGATTCCGGATGTTCTTAAAAATGGTGGGTATATTTTTAAAATCACAATATAGAAAGTGGTTGGCTTTATTCATCTGACATGTTGAATGCAATCGAACCTGAGAGCTTATCACACAGCATTGGATCATCAATCACTTCTTATTGTTTATCCAGATGGTTTTTATTTTTGACAAAATACAGGAGTGCTTGTATCATTGCTTTTTCCAGCATAGTGTTGAATGATGCCCTTGCTAAATTGTTCTTGTACCTCCAGCATCTTCCTACGTTGTTGCCCAAAAAGGTGCTTCTTTTTGGGGGAGCAGGTGAAAGATCTTAATGCCATGGGTGACTCTGCTGGGAACATATAGTATTGACATAATCCTGGCATTTTTTTATGTATCCTTCCCAGAAACATTCCCCCACTGCCACAATGAAACAGCATAGCAGGTGTGTGTGTGTGTGTGTGTGTCTTTAAAATTATGTTCAGCTAAATCCTGATTAGTCTTTTCCCTATGCTTTTTTTTTTCTTTCAGTGTCTACTCTATAGGACAGATCAGGCTCAAGATGTAAAGAAAATTGAGAAATTCCACAGTCAATTAATGCGACTGATGGTAGCCAAAGAATCCCGCAGTGTTGCTATGGAAACAGACTGAATATCTGGAAATAAAATGAATGTTCCAGTCACGTATCACAGGAGGAATGTATCTGTTGGATTTGGGCATATTTTGGAATGGACACACGATGGCATCAAGTGGACTATTAAAATTTAAACAGTTTTATAAGGAATTTGGGGGCTCCACTTCAGAGTGGCTAGTAGACTATATGCTTTCATTGAAAGCTTCTATTTATTTTTCTTTCAATTTGAGTAAGGAAATATATATGTTCTTTCCTGGAATTTGTAAATGTTAAAATATACTCAGTCATATATTTATGACTTCCTTTCTTAAATCTTTAGGACATTGCTTAAAAATGGAAGGGGTTCTCTGATGGGTTGAAGAATGCTGTTATATAGAAAGGGGTTGTGGAATTTTATGTTCTATTAAATTAGTGTATAATCTTTATATATTGATGTATTATTTAGTTGGCAAATAACATTGATAAAATGTTCTACTGGAAAAACAAGGACGCTTGTGAATCAATTCATGTGTCTAGACTTAACAATTCAGAACTGATTCTTGCTTCATAATCATATACACTGAAAAACATTTTCTGTTTGTTAACAGGTAATGCTAAAAACAGATATTTCTGCATTGTATTTAAGATTGCTGGCAAAGACACCTTAGGTGAGATGGGCAGCATACAAGTTTGATAAATAATTCAAACTAGCTTTGATTTTGAATGATAGAAAGAACTAGAGATGTGCAGAACATTTGATCTTGAACTGCTCCAGATGTAAAATTTCAGGAGTCCTCTTGCTTCTAGTACAAAACTGAAACACTTCTGCAATGCTTGAAACACCTGTTTCACACTTGAATGAGACACTTTGCAAAATATCACGTTAAAATGGTTTGAAACCAAATGTTTTACTTGTAGAAGGCACCAAAGCGTATGAATAAAATTGTGTGTAGAACTTTTAAATAACTTACTGAAACCAGCGTTCAAGTGTCTTATAATTTCTTTTCATGTGAAGTTCTCACTATCAAATGCTAAATTAAGTGGTGGTCTACATATGGGACTATGTAGTATTAAATACAGCTAATGAGAAAAAAGCCTCCCAATCACAAAGTATAAAATGGTATGCATAGCTTGCCAATAATAAAATTCATCTTAAATGGTTTTTCTGAAACAAGGAAATGTTCGCTAAGAAAATAATGTTCAAATATTTTATTACAGAGTTGTCACCTTCACTGGGGAATTGCAATGATCAGAGACGTGCAAAGCTTATTATTCCAGGGATGAAATGTTTTACAAAATGTGGAAATTTTTAAACTCTGAATTATACCAATCCAGCTGAATTTGTGGTCCATTTCTCTTGAGGTAGACCATTCTGAAAAACCATGAACCACTTTTCAGTTCCTGACATACAAATCTGCGAGTGTTGTATACTTTCATTTTCAGGATATGGAATGCTTGCTTTTTGCAAGTTCCTTGTGCAAGAATTTTCAGCTGAGATGGGATCTATGAATGTGCAAATATCCAATTTAAAGGCTAACTAACATAAGTCATAGCTATCAAGAATGCAGATTATCTTATACACTCTCTTTTCCTGCATATAAGGATAACTCTCTGCATTGTGGTAGATGAAGACAAGAAATAAGGCAGATGAAAATGAGAGAGAGAGCTTGAGGGTATTGTTTGGATCTTCATCTTGTTTTCATCTATCCCAATATTTTATGTCTCTGTGGCTTCCAATTGCAAACAAAACCTGCAACACAAGTGCAGCAGCAACATCTTCCTATTCAGGTTCCCAGAAACTGATGCTGAGTGAATTGCTGCTTTGAATATACAGTAGGAAGATATATAGAGACATCAGAACTAATATCAAATGTTTCTCATAACTTTATACAATTTGTTTAATTACTTCAAATTTAATTATAAGGGGCAGGGCTTAGTTTATTATGCAAAGATTGATTAAATTGTTATAAGAAATTAGTTCTTAGTTTAATCCCTAAGATATAGTAAGCTCTGCTTGATTGATACTATCAATTTTGTAATTTCAGAACGTGGCATATACGTGATCTGTGGTGTTTTCTTTAACTAAAATATGCTGTTATAATCTTGTGAAGAAATATAATCTAGAAAAACATTCTTCATACTTGAACTAATAAACTGCCCTTTAGACATTAAATTCAAATTGGGAAATGACAGGAATATACTAGTTTCAATTACCTTTCCAATTGAGAAAAAAAAAATTCCATAGCTTCACAGCGGTCAAAGTATTTTTTAACTAGTCTGTTTTAGAGTTTAGGCACTGCACTAATTTAAACACCTTACAGTAAGCGGAACCTGCACTATGTAATGCTTCTAATCAGGGTACTACCTATGCTATCTCGCAGGACACTCCATTCACCTTTATTTCCTCCTTTGCCCATCAGTCTGTATTCTGTGCCTACTGAGCATATGTAAGAAATCCTGGAGCGTTCTCGAGAGTAATGTTTCTCAACCTTAGCAACTTTAAGACAAGTGGACTTCAACTCCCAGAATTCCCCTGCCAGAAACACTGCTCTAGACTAGAGTGTTCATCATAAGAAAAATTGCTTCCCAGCAGGGAATTTCCAGGACTGGTTTCCATGCAGACACACATACTATGCTGAAGCCTTGATCCTTTTTATGGATTTTGGCACCAAAAAAGGACCACTTCTGCTGAAATTCAATGTATCTAGAAAGCAACAAATTTAAATGTTGAGAAGGAATAGTTCTTTTGAATACTCCAGACCACCATGTAGTCAGTTTATTGGTTGATGAATACTCATTTCATGTGATTACTTCTGCTAACAAAATACGATTTTGGGGAAAAAAATCTATTCAAAAAAGCAGAGATACTGCTGTAGAAATAGGTTTATGAGAATGCTAATATATCTAGTTTTCTTCCTTACTGAAGTAATGCTAAGTCACAATTCTGGAACACATCTCACATTCAGACATTTCTCCTCGTCCTTTTTGACCCCAATCTGGCATAGTATAAAGTAGATTATTCATAGTTTTCCAATGTAATTTATAGGCCAAATTTGGAGTATTGGTGACATGTAAATATGCTTCTTTACTTTTTCTTATATCTGCACAAGGTAATGACTTGGGGCCCAGCGCTGAATGAGAATTTATAAGATTTAGCAAAACAAACACAAGATCAATTTTAGATCTCTTCTTTTGCCTCTTCCAGTTCTTCCAGGCCTCTTTTTTTCCATCTTTTCATCAAAGCTGCCCCAAGATATTTGGCTGCCTGCGGTGAAGGATAAAATGGTACTATTTTTCCACTTTACGTACTGATGTGAACTGGGCAGTCGTTCGGACAGTTCGGACCGCTGCAGTTCAGTCAGTCTCTTCAACCTCAGAGAGCTTGGGAGAAAGGGGGAGAAGACTTTGGCTGCCGTCTACAACGCGGACCGAAGCAGGAGTTTCCAGGCTTCTTTAGATTTAACCTTCCGTTCCCCGTTTTCACTGCGCCGGGCATGGGTTGGAAGTGCTGATGGGAGGGTCTGACCTGTTTTTGGAACAGAGCTCTTAGTTTGTAATGAAAATTTAAGCCTTCTATATATTGTGCATTCTGTCTCTTCTGTGTTGATTCCTTCCTCACTGACAACATTCACACCGCTCGCCAACAGTCTAAGCAGCCGCAGGGGAATCTTTTCGATCGTGGAAATCAGCTTCATATCTTGCTCAGGCAAGGGGAGGGGGCGGGGGAAAAACTTCGGCATATGAGTGGGATAGCCTATTTCCCGCTAGCGTTTCTTAATGCAGTACTATAATCGGGAGAAAATGAAGCGTGGCGTAGGTGTCTGAGCCGTGTCGTTCCCTTTAACAATCTGAAAAGATTGTCATTTTCTTCTCGGTACGTGTTCCTGCATTTACACGATTTTGTGTTTTTAAGTTTATGCTCTTGAATCCCACAACCTGTGCAAGCAAGTACTGTATTGTATGCAACTTGTAAAGCAACCGCAGGAGAACTTAAAGGTTGAAAAGCCGCAGCCTCGTTCTTTACGATCATTGAGATTTAAGATTTGCTTAAGAAATCTCAGGAAAGTTTCACGATGTGGGGATTCAGGGTGTTGAGACGAGTACTTTATTAAACACAAAACAACAAGATGTAGGCCCCAGTGGCAATTTTAAAAGCTTTAGACTGTCGGTGAGGATCTCAAGTTGGAAATAGATAAGTAGCCAACATCAGCTAAGCAACCCGAACCTCTATTTTATTAATTAGGTCACTACAGTTCCTATTAAGGCTGTTATTTTTGATGTTCAGTTTTAACCCTGCCACCCCCAAATTCAGTGGTTTTGAGAAATCTCCCTATTTGAGGAAGCATAGGAAAAGAGAGGGAGGGAGAAAACTGGAATGGAAAGGATGTGCAAGAATATTCCTATTTCTCCACAGATTGAAAGGAGAAGTAAAATGTTGCCTTCATAGCCTGTGAAATACTGCCCTTTTTCAAGATGTATTCTTGATACCTGACAACAGCAATTCCACCACAGAAAAATGTCAAAAAGAGACCCTTACTTAAAACTGTATGATTGCAGCTGGCAAAAACTTTGCTTTTTTTTTTTTTTAACTTGGACTCAAACAAGAAAATGGGTTTTGAGTTTACTTCCCATGTTTCTTGATATAACCAGACTTGGATGACAGCATCTTATTCCAAAGACAACTTGATTCAGACAATCAAATCCTGAGAACAGAGAATGGAACAGATCAGCCTGGACTACAACCTTCATTAGAGATCTTTATTTTCTGGGACCTGCTAAAGCTCTGATGGCAGCTCAGGACAATTTTTAGCAGTTTTGCTTTTGTGTATTTTCACTAAGACTTTTCAGTTGAGCTTTTGCACTTCTTTGTTCTTGGACTCTGCTGATGGCAACCTAGCTTTTCTTCTCCATGAGTTTCTGAACCTACTGTCTGAAAATGACTTGACATGAGATAGGAGTTACATCAGTTTAAGTACTGAGAGATTCAGAGACTCTGAATCTCATTGAAGAACTGTAGTCATTACTTTTCAACCTAACTTGCCTTGTAAGATTGTTTCAAAAATGAAATAGGAAGTGTGGACCTACTCGCAGGGGTGTCAAATTGCCGGTCTGTGGGCCGGTTGCATCATATGGAGGCCGCACCCATCCCAGGTCTGGCAATGCAAAAAAAGTCACGACACGTCACGTGATGCGGCGAGTTTGACATCCATGGCCTACTGTTTTTAGTTGTTCACAAGAGGGCAGAGATCAGGCAGCAATGACAAGTAAGGGTTGTCAAAGCTTGTGAATCCAGGTGACAATAGAGCTTTAGCAGTTCCCAAAAAATAAAGATGTCTGTCTGATGAAGGTTGTAGTCCAAACTGATCTGTTCCATTCTCTGTTCCCAGGTTTTGATTATCTGAATCAAGTTATCTCTGAAATAAGATGCAGGTGTTCAGTTTCCATAGAAACAGACAACAGTCCCTTGTCTGCAACTGTAAGACATTTAGACAAAGTGAAAGGAAATATTTAGTATCATTTTTTGGCTGCTTTTTGGGATCTTATATACGTTATTGAATAATTTATTCTGTTGCAAAAATGGTTTATATCATGTGCAATAGCTATTCTCTCACAATATAAATATTAAACAATTCAATAATTATGAAGATATAAAGATGCAATTTTGAAAAGTTATTCTACCTTTATTATTTTTATAAATAATTCAACGTGGTGAACATACCTAATACTCCTACTTCTTCCTATTTTCCTGACAACCTTTTGAGGTGAGTTTGGCTGAGAAAGAGCGACTGGCCCAAGGTCACCCAGTTGGCTTTCATGTCTAAGGTAGGACTAGAACTCAGAGACTCCTGGTTTCTAGTCTGGTACGTTAATCACTAGACCAAACTGGCTCTGAACACTTATACAGCTAAAAAGCTAAAATCATATATATGGCTAAATTATTTACACAAGGACATACACTCTTAACCTTACAAACTGCCCCGAAATTTTGATGAAAATCTGTGTCACACTTTCTGCCTCAAATGCTACTGTGAGGACAATGTAAGAGGCCAAGTTAAATCCATTTTTATGTATAACATTCAGGGAACTGATAGGGTACATTCAGAGACCATAATAGAATATGTAAATAGCATTGAGTTTGGTTGAAATTAATCCTGTTTTTCCTGTTGCACACGTCTTAAATTACTGAGCTGTAGAGTATTTTGTTCTTGGATTCAGCTGATGGCAATGGCAGCCTAGCTTTTCTCCTCCATATATTTCTGAACCTACTGTCTGAAGATGACTTTCTCGATCTTGGCAACTTTAAGATGCCTGGACTTCAACTCTCAGAATTCCAACCAGGCATCTTAAACGTATCAAAGTTGAGAAACACTAACAAAGTAAAATAATTAAATAATTGTGGTTTTTCTCACATTTCTTTCTGCCTCAAATGCTACTATGATGATATCAGTTATGCTAATGGAGTATAACAATTATTTTGATACCATCACACTAACCAATTACAACACAGTGATCACACCCTGTTGAATTGTGAGCACAGACAGTAGAAGATCTCATTGATACCTCAGCTTAAACTGTTCACTGCGGAGACATTCTCTGAATATCAGTGAGATTCTAAAAACGAAGGTACTATACACAAAGACAATCCATACTGAGGGAAACAGAAACAGATAACCCAGGACTTAAAAAGAATATATAGAACATCTAAATTAGTGACTGTGATTTGTCTCTTAGTATTCATTTGCAAAAAGGAGCAGAAAACGGGGGTACATACACAGGTTTATGTATGTGTGAATGTGTGCATGTATGCATCTTTAAAGAGAAAGAATCTGTTCTCCATTCTTGTTCTGGATTACTTAAGGAATTTGTCATTTTATATTTTTTCTGTTTACATTTTGTTTCTTCTTAAATCTCTTGTAATATAGTATGGTTGCCTGTGTTTTTTCAGCTACAGTTAGTCCTCGACTTACTACCACAATTGAGTCCAAAATTTCTGTTGTTAAGTGAGACAATTAAGTGAATTTTGACCCATTTTGCAACCTTTCTTGTGACAGTTGTTAAGTAAATCACTGCAGTTAATAAGTTAGTAACCCAGTTGTTAAGTGAATCTGGCTTCTCCATTGACTTTGTTTGTCAGAAGGTCACAAAAGATGATCACATGATATTGGCACATAGCAATGGTCATAAAAATGAACCAGTTGCCAAGCATCTGATTTTTGATTATATGATCATGGGGAAGCTGCAAAGGTCATAACTTTGAAAAACGGTCATAACTCACATTTTTCAATGCCATTGTAATTTTGAACAGTCACTAACCAAACTGTTGTAAGTTGAGAACTATCTATATTCAATTACTTAGGTGCATGTCTTTGCCCAGCGATGATCTTAATATAAAGTAATGCATTTTGCACATTTTATATCCAAGCTGAGAATATCATACTGGATCCCTTTGTGTTTTATACTATTTTATCAATATAAGCTTTTATTACTAGCATGTTGTAATCTAACATTTGGTTATAGCTCAGTTCATTGTGCTTTGCTGCTAGAATATTTATTGTTTTCTTATTTATTTCCACTAACACAACTTTCCCCAACAAACAAACTTTTGAATGGGTTGGGTCATAAATCTCAGTATCCCAAACTTCTGTCTGCCTTTGCAGATTATTCCAAAGGTACTTTTTCAAAAGGCAACCTGACATCCTTTGTTTTTTCCTTGAAGATGGTTCACTTCTCATCCAAGAAGCAGTTCAGTTCTGAACTGAAGAAGCTTCTTAGATGAGAAGTGAAACATCTTCAAACAAAGAAAGTCCAGTTGCCTATTGAAAAAGCACCTTTGGGACAAGCATGACCTGGATGACTGAGAATCTCCACAGCCATTGCAGATTATGATTATTGTAGTCAGATCCTCAAGAATGTCAGGTAAGGAAGATTTTGTGTTACTATTGCATCCATTTCTCTGAACACAGATTAACGAAACCAACTTGTATATGAATATAGAAAGCATAAATCAACTTTACAGACGATAGCATATAAATCAATACTCAAAAAAACTGACATCTTCTTTTGCTACTTATATCCTTTTCTTTCTCAATATGCTTTAATAACTTGTGGATAATAAGATTCAGGGTTTAATGATTTTGTGGCCTAATTGAGGAAGTTTTCCAATGTATATTTTCTCAACATGAAGTACACAATTCTTGGGATTTATTGTGTTATATTTTGTGTTTTTTCCACTGTAGGACTCCAGTTAAAATTTAATCTGAATATTACTATTAACAGAGAAGCAGGTCTTCAAAATCCCATGTTGATTACTCCTAAATTACTGTAGTTGTGATAATAACATTTGGATGCAGGTATAATAGAGTATTTGCTCTTATAGCATGATAATTGTTTTTAATGAGTTCATAGATGTATAGTAGATTGTGACACTTTTATATACAATTTTTTGTTGCAGGGGATGTGATTAAATATTTCTTAACCAGAAAAATTGATTTATTTTGCAATATTTCTAGTACATCCCATTTATAATTGAATCTGAGTGGGATGTAACAAAGGAAAAGCAAACAACATTTTAAGTATGCAAAATTAAAATAATAACCACAATCCATCTCCAAGTCAACAGTAAACATCACAGGTGCCCATGAAACTAAAATAACTAAACTAATGGGCTGAATGCTCACTGAAGATTGGTTTGGGCTGCTCACAAAAAGCCAGCAAGATTAGGGCCAACCATGCCTATAGAAGGAAATTATTCCAGTAAGTGTGAAAGTCTGTAATAACTTTTTAGAGGAGCCTTTTAGGACATGTTCACTCTTAATACCATGCCCTTTTCTCTTTTCTCTTAATCTATTATTGTCCAATGGTTAATGTATCTACTTTAATATATAGTACATGCATCAGTGTTTCATGCATATATACAGAAGGAGCTTTGATCATCTGCTGTGACCCCAACCTTGCCATTTTTTTTGTACGCACATACCTACAGGGGCCACTGATTCAAAGTGGGAAAATATAGATACCTTCTATGGCCACTGGTAAAGGGGCTGGAAAGGATTACACAAGCAATGGTTTGCATATTTTTTCTGTGTGACTTGGTATTCTTTTCTACTGAATGGAATGCTGGAAACAAATGAAGGAAAAGTCCTCACTATTCTGTCTATAAACATAATAACTCTCCCAAAATTGAACAGAGTGGGATCAAACTATGTTGAGAAGAGAAGCCAGGAAAAGAAACAGAACAAGATCTTACTGACAAAGGCCAGGTATGAAGGAGTGTGTTTCTTTTTTTATATATAAAGATTTTATTGCTTTTTTTTCTCATAAACATATGTTAATTTTTCCAATCAACAAGTTGTCTGGAGTTTGCTATGCTAATACATGTTCAATTCCTAATCCTTCATTCTTTCCTTTAGCCAACAATAAAATAGGTCCCAAATTTGATAATAGTTTGTATCTTCTTTATCTTTCAACCTCATAGTTAATCTGTCCATCTCTGCACATTCCAATATTTTCCTGATTATTTCTTCTTGTGATGGCAATCTGAAGGAGTGTGTTTCATGCTTCTGTAGAAAAGAGTGGCAGATATAGGAGCATAGCAGAGGTGTTTTTTTCATGAGCTATTAAATGCAGGCATTTTTACCTAAGATCAAAAAGTCTTACCACCTCTTCTCAATCTAATCCACTTCACTGAGTTGTAGACAGGATGAATTATGGAAGAATTATGTACTTCACGCTGTAGACAAAGGGCAAAATAAATAGACTTTGTAATGGGTTACATCAGCTAAATTACTAGAACTGAAATCCCATTTAAATCAATGGGCAAAACTAATCTGAATTTGTTAATTCCATTAAATGGAAACTGTTTAGCTAATTTCACCCAAATCCATGAGTTTTGAATTACAACCCTTCCTTCCTTCCTTCCTTCCTTCCTTCCTTCCTTCCTTCCTTCCTTCCTTCCTTCCTTCCTTCCTTCCTTCCTTCCTTCCTTCCTTCCTTCCTTTTTTATTTTTATTTTTTGAGTGATTAAATCCTCAAGAGCAATTCAACAAAAAAGCTTAGCTTTTAGAAAGCTCAGAACATATTATTGGACATACCCAATTACCTCAGTGAACAGGCTCCTACATGCCACTGTTAATCCTTCTCATCATTTTGTTGTAACACTTATTGCATGGAATTTAACATCAAACAAATAATTTGTCAGGTTCCTATGAGTGTTGGAATTTTCCAAAATTATCTTCCCACGACACATAACAAGGAGGCTTTAAAAAGAGCTTCAATATTGCATGAGTTCTCCCTTGAAGAGAAAAACAAGTCAGAGAGCCCACTAGGTAAGTCCGACCTCCGGCTCATTTTGTTCTCTGGTTTTCTGAATGTATTGTTCATTTATGTGATTACTATGTGCAGTGCTAACTTAAATAGGTTCTTTTTGATGGAAAAGAAGAACTTAATTTTGGTTTTGTACTTTCCAGCTTCCACTTCTAGGTGGAACTAATTTTCCTTTTTCCATCAGTCATTTTTCTTTCCTTTCTTGGGAAGACATTGGATTCTGTTACCAATGTCTTGAATAGCAACATTTTAAAAAGGAGGGAGGAATCAATCTGTCAAATAAAATGCTGTAGATAAGTTCCCAACTGAGGGAAAAGGGTCTAAGAGACACTAATTCCTCATTGAGAAATGCTGGTTAGGCTTCTGGAATTCCTACTGACAAGCAGTCTTTTAATGACCTGAGAGCAAAAAGTAGTAGGAAGATAATATTTTGAAAAAAGAAAAGTAGAATCAGAGTAGAAAATGACAAATTTGATATGTTTGAGAAGTAGAGAGAAAAAATGTCAAGCCAGAGGGTTTAGCTGTTGAGGCATGTAAAAAGAAGGAATTTGGAATGAGATAGGAACAGAGGGATCATTTTCTGTGGGACTAAAAAAAATCAAGTTCTTTAAAAAATTGGAACGGAACAGTCCAAGAGGATATTATGACATGATCAAAGTTAATAAAGTTTTCAGGGTTAGGTTTTAAGAAAATGATCCAAAATACCATTGGATATATTTTTTCCTTTTATTATTGGGTGGGGGGGACAGTGTATCAGAGAAAGCAAGCACCTAACACAACATTCATACATACTTTAAACCCAAAAATACACTTAAGGCAGAAGCTTGTCCATCCCAAGGATAAAACATCAGACACAAACTAAGCAATGTCATGTATGTAGTACAATGCAGTAAGACGTGCAGATCTATACATTGGAGAAACAAAACAACCAAATAAACACATGGCATAACATAGGAGAACAAACCCATCAGAACCAGATTCAGCAATCCATCTGCATTTGAAAGACAAATGTCACTATCTTGTAGACAGCAAAGTCCACATTCTGGACAGAGGAACTCTAGATCAGTGGTTCTTAACCTGTGGGTCAGGACCCCATTTGGGGTCGAACAACCATTTCATGGGGGTCGCCAAACAAGGCTGTCCGCCATTTTTCCCCCCTTTTCTTTGGCCACGCCCCTGGCACCCGGTTGTGTATGAGTGGTTGGGGGTCACCACAACATGGGGAACTGTATTATGGGGTCACGGCATTAGAAAGGTTGAGAACCACTGCTCTAGATTAAAAGAGGGATCAAAGAGGCCATCTACATAAAAACTGAACAGCCGTCTCTCAACAGAGGGGAAGGAACATGACGCCGCTTATCTTCTGTTTACAACCCAGTCCTTTCAACAATTACAAGAAGGTTACATACCCATTTGCACTATTTAGGTGACCCTCAGGGCATAGATAAACCTTCAAGTGGCCTTAATGACTCAGAGAGAATGCTAATGACCAGATGACTGCAAGGAATATAAAGCCTTCCATTCTCCATCATTCACTCAGAACTGAAGAAGCTTCTTGGATGAGATGTAAAACATCTTCAAGGAAAAAACAAAGAAAGTCCAGCTGCCTTTTGAAAAAGCACCTTTGGGACAATCATGATCTGGATGACTGAAAATCTCTGGGCACCCAACAAACATTGCCCTTTGCATCCAGGTGGAAGACTCCATGGCACCATATTTATTGGAAGAAAAATAGCAACTGGGCAGAAAGAATTGCATTGAGCTCCTGGGGTCAGCCCAATTCCCAAATAACCAGGGAAGGGCACTCCAGAGTTCTCTGAAAGAGAGGTGGGAGAAGGGGCCTACACATGGTGATTTCCATATGGAAAATGGAATTACTTTCCTTTTTTTACTGATGCATTATTCATAATAGTTGTTGCAATCTGAGACTAAATCTGTTGTGTGAAGATCTTTTGTTACATTACCTGCAGCGAACAGCAAAAGCAAGCTGAAATTCTTGTTTAATTAACCTTTCAGCTTGAGTTCTCAAATTTGCTAGCACTGACTTTTCCTATACTGTCTAAAGTGCAAGCTGGCCATATTTTAACCATGAGTGCAAAAAAAGAGTAAAAACAAAAAGTTGGTATTCTTTAAAACAGTAAAAAATGCAGCATTTTCTTTTTCTTTCTTTTTTTTTTTAGATCATAATATTTACCAACAATGCAAAATCAAACTACTCTGTTCATTCTGTGAAATAATTCTGGGAAGACTAACTGAAGAAAGTCTATACCCCAAAATACCTTTTGAATAATGCCTTCTCTGAAGAATATTTATCTGAAATTTGAAACAGTAATAATTCATAATTCCCAAGATAGTAATGATTATTTAAACCAAAATTCTTTAAAATATAATCTTCACTTTGCTTATATTTTAAAAATCTCAGAACAATTAATATTAAGGAAATCCATTCTTTGTGCATATATTAAAGGCAGATTATGTTTACACAGTGTTTTGTTTGATGTATGTTGAAATAAAGTTGAATGTAGCTGGGGTTCATTTTACGAAGAATAAATTTTCAGATTTATCCAATAATATTTTATCTTTGTGTTGCTTCTTTAGAGTGTATGAGAATGTGAATACAGTATCTGTTGACCGCTCATTAAGGTAATAACCTCTGTTTGCAGGATCATCTGGCTGTTTTAATGAATTGCCAACAGATACTGCATTCACATTCTTGTAGGCTCTGAAATAGCTTTTCAGAACTCAGGTTTGAAGCATTTCATAGTTCTGATATTTAAATCATATAAGGAGAAGATGATTGATTTGTAAGAGGAAAAGACAGCAAACCACAAGTACTTTAAATTTCCAACCTGTTTCTAAGGCTAGAAACTGTAGTTTTATTGGGAAAGCCAGGCAGAATCTAGGATAAATTCCTAATGTGAGATGTTTTTGCATATTATGTATTGCTTTCCCTTATTTTAGAGGGAAGTAGCTTGCAAGTTCAAAAACTATCCTGAAAGAGGGTAACAGCATCCTTTCTACTGGTTCATCTAAATAAAATAGGTTTCCGGTGCTGAGTATCAAATGTGAGTATCATCTCATCAAGTTACTGTGTTTGCTAATGCATCATATTTGTTTTCCATTTCTAATCCTCCCTATTTATTTCCCACACTCTGTATTCTTTTTTTAAAAAAACAAATTTTATTAGTTTTTTAAGACAAAGTGCTCAAGACACCGTGATGCTAGGGTAATCAAACATCCAAAAACAAAACATATATACATAATTCCATCAATACATCAAGTATTCCCTCTCTTTTTCCCTTAAATAGCATAATTTATTTAAAATAATCCAATTCTAGCTTAAATTTATTCAACCTGGACCTGTTGTTAAAGCTTTATAAATTTACAATACCATAATCAAATTAACTTTAACTAAAAACATTATCAATTCAGGTATCCCTTCCAAATATGTTCTAGTTCCTTAATTTTATCATAAATCTTATTTATTTCTTCTTCCACTAATATCCCTTATTTAAAATAAAATATTAATCTATCCTATACATATCTAATACATCAATCAATCAATCTCTTTAAGCTGACAGAGTAAAATCAAACCTTAAATCATTTCAATCCATTAGACAGAATTCAAATTTCATCCAATTAATTATCATAACTAATAACATCCTTATTATCAAACAAACAAATCTTCTTATTAGATTAACTCAACATTACATAATAATTTTCATACAAATAAACCTATCGTTCTAAAAGACACATTCTTAATCAATTTAAAATGTATATTCCATTAATCACCCATTTTTCTCTTACTTCTAACTCACAATCTTAGTCCTTAAATCAGTCCATAATTCTGTTGTTGTTAATTGCGAAGTCGTGTCCGACCCATCGCGGCCCCATGGACAACGTTCCTCCAGGTCTTCCTGTCCTCTACCATCTTCTGGAGTCCATTTAAATTCACACCTACTGCTTCAGTGACTCCATCCAGCCATCTCATTCTCTGTCGTCCCCTTCTTCTATTGCCCTCAATCTTTCCCAGCATTAGGCTCTTCTCCAGTGAATCTTTCCTTCTCATTAGGTGGCCAAAGTACTTGAGTTTCAACTTCAGGATCTGGCCTTCTAAAGAGCATTCGGGGTTGATCTCTTCTAGGACTGACCGGTTTGAACGCCTTGCAGTCCAAGGGACTCGCAGGAGTCTTCTCCAGCACCATAGTTCAAAGGCCTCAATTCTTTTGCGCTCAGCCTTTCTTATGGTCCAACTTTCACAGCCATACATTGCAACTGGAAAACCATGGCCTGGACTATACGCACTTTTGTTGGCAGGGTGATGTCTCTGCTTTTTAGAATGCTGCCTAGATTTGCCATAGCTTTCCTCCCCAGGAGCAAGCATCTTTTAATTTCTTGGCTGCAGTCCCCATCTGAGGTGATCTTGGAGCCCAGAAAATAAAATCTGTCACTACCTCCATTTCTTCCCCATCTATTTGCCAGGAATTGAGAGGGCCGGATGCCATGATTTTGGTTTTCTTAATGTTGAGTTTCAAGCCTACTTTTGCACTCTCCTCCTTCACCCGCATCAAGAGGCTCTTTAGTTCCTCTTCACTTTCTGCCATCAGAGTGGTATCATCTGCATATCTTAGGTTGTTGATATTTCTCCCGGCAATCTTAATTCCAACTTTTGATTCATCTAGCCCTGCCTTTCTCATGATGTGCTCTGCATATAAGTTAAATAGTCAGGGCGACAGTATACAGCCTTGCCGGACTCCTTTTCCAATTTTGAACCAATCAGTGGTTCCGTGTTCGGTTCTCACTGTTGCTTCTTGACCCACATATAGGTTTCTCAAGAGACAAATGAGATGGTCTGGTACTCCCATCTCCATAATTCTAGATTGCCTTTAATCCATTACATAAAAATATCTCCTTTTTAAGCTAAAATATTGATCTATCCTAAACATATCTAATCCATCAATCAATCAATCTCTTTAAGCTGATAAAATAATATCAAACCTTAGATCAGTGGTTCTCAACCTTTTTAATGCCGCGACCCCCAACCGGTCGTAAGTCGAGGACTACTCAACCGGTCGTAAGTCGAGGACTACTCAACTGGTGCAGCACCGTTTGCAGAATGGGACTTTTGGTGGTCTCAGCAGGGCAGAGACAGCCTGGACAATTCCTATTGGCTTTTGAAAGCCAATAGAATTAGACTCTATTCAAGAGAGTCTATTCTATTGGCTTTCAAAAGCCAATAGAATAAAAGGGAGTAGCACAGCTAAGGAAAAGGGGGGAAAAATGGCGGACTGCGTTGTTTGGCGAGCCCCGTGAAATGGTCATTCGACCCCAAATGGGGTCCCGACCCACAGGTTGAGAACCACTGCCTTAGATCATTTCAATCCATTGGGCATCAAACAAACAAATCATCTTATTAGATTAACATTCAATTAGTTATTAATTCAATCCAGATCTAAAACATCTCTTCAATTTTCTTCCTTCCATTACATAATAATTTTCATATAGATAGTCCAAAAAATACATTCTTAGTCAATTTAATATATATCTTCCATTAGTCATCCAATTTTGTCTTACTAATAGCTCATAATCTTAGTCCTTAAATCAATCCATAATTCTAGATTGCCTTTAGTCCATTACATAAAATTTTAAATTTCATTTCTTTTCAGTCTTATTCTGGCCTTCTTCTTATACTAAACAGATTTCCATAGCAGAGCTTCCCTTCCAGCTGATGAGTCTCTCTTTGTTGCTTGCAATATCATTTGAATCAGTGAAAACCATCTTGGCCTCTGCATTGGCCCTCTGTTTCTCTTAACCATAAAGCCTCATTGCTTTAACAGTTCAAATCTCAGTCTTTGCTTTTTTCTGGTCCTCAAAGCCATAAGTGAACTCCTTATGGCAAAATAAGTTTCTCTTTATTCTCAGTTAAGTCCTTTTCTTGTGTAATCTGTTTTATAAAATAGTCAGGTATAGTCTGAGAGTCAGTTTTGAAGTTTAAGAGAGAAATTCTGGCTCTTAATTCTGTAGTAAACTCTTTCATTGTAGCACATATTTCTTCTTTAGCCTCATAGATCTTTTCCAGTATAAGTTTACAATTTAAATATGAGTGAGGCTCCATTTTAAAAATAGTTGAAGAGAAATCCTTTTTTTCCCTTTTGGTGGAGGCTATTGCTAATAGCAGTAGAAGAATATCCACCCCCAGAAATCCCACAGTTGCGTCAAGTTATCTTTCTCTTAAAAAACAATTTGAAGGTCAAAACCATCTCATCTCCAAATAGTCAACAATTACAATATTAACTTTTGACCAGTAAATGTCCGCAGTCAGCTAAAAGGTCTTTTTCAAATGCCATTTTTTCCCTTTTTTCTATTTTTTTAAGAAAAAAGTGGAAAAAGAAATACACTTCCAATATCAGATGATAATGCCGCTCAAAAAAACAACAACAACAGCATAAGATGATAGTACAGCTCTTAGGAAAGAATTTTTTCAGTACCCTAAAACATATGAAAATAAATGTAGTCTTTAAGATTTTGTTCTATTCTTTTGTTCAACGCCTTTCTTTCCAAACATGTAGAAGCTGCTTTTCCAAACCAGGGAAATAATTCCAACAGGGCTCTTATAGGTGAAAAAAAAAAAAGCAAAATAGAGTGAAGAGAGGAACAAAAAAAAAAGTCTCACCTGGATTCACCACGATGATTTTAAAGCTTAATGTTCTTTGACTTGCGGTTTGAAGCGGCTAGGTGATCGGCCATTTTACTGGCCGATCTTCTCCGTCGGCCCTCAAAGTTGGCCCAGACAGTTGGAGGAGCCACCGCTCCTCCAGCGGCGAGCAAAGCCTCTTCGACAGAAGTCACGTCCTCGAGGGCTTTTTCGACCCGCATAAGAGTCTACCAGCGGAGGGAAATTAGCTGATGAAGAGACGAGTCTCTTTGTGCGACTAGAGGCACCGTGATCCGGAACTGGAAGACCCACACTCTGTATTCTAATGTACAAACACCTGAAGTTTTCAGTATTACCATCTCCTGGCATGTGTATTAGAGTGTCTTGCCAAACATTTTTTTCATCACTGCAGTTTGTTCGAAATATCTGTGAACAAAGCAGTTACTGCTTTATGTTTATGTGTAATCAATACAAGTCTTAAGGCAGCGTATGCTCTTTTTTAACGTACCAAAAATTCACCCACTAATTTTTGTCAGTTCTTTATTCAACACTAAGTAACAAAAAGGGTGTCTTAATGTTTTCTAAGGCCTGTTGTATCCATATCACTATTTTAAATACCAAAACTTCAAAAGATATGTGTGTGCGTGTTTGTGCACATGCGTTATTCTGTCCCAGACAGAACAGACTGCTTTCCGTCCAATCCAAGACAGATAGATAACTCAGAAGAATAAACAGAAAATATAGCTTTATTCTGCGAATCCTAAACAATAACTTACAGTTATGTAGAGATATGTCCAAAAGTATATTTCAGCAATATTGGTTCATTCCACAGGTAAATTGATATTGAATTTTCCCCTCTTCTTCTGCACATGTTGGCATAGGCTCTCCAAGCCGTGCGGCTAGGAGACATGAGGCTGGATGAACAAAAGGCATTCCAATCTGGCTTGTGTCCAGGAAGTCTCCCAATGACCTTTTGAGAATCCTCCCACTGACCCATCAACATACCTAGCATTTAACCCAATAACTGCCAGATATTCTAACATACTGATACATGCTCTCTAGTTAGGGTTACATAGAGCTCTACGAGGTTACATAGAGCTATACGGTCCAGAATACTCCCCGCTTGGAAATTTATATTTCCACTACTGAAATAGCAAAAACATAGCATTAAGGCATGCAATACTCATTGTTAACTAACTTGTGACTAAATAAGTAAAAACTTGGTATCAAACATGCATAACTATAAAGTAAATACGAAACATGCACAATTATGCAAAAAAAAAAACAAGCGTTACATCAAACAATGCATAGACAATACACAATTTGAGGTTTGATCTTCTGGTACAGTCTTCATCAGCAACGGGACCAAATCGGTAATCAGCCTGATACAAGTGTCTTTGACCTAACTCATGTGGCTTCACGATCTGGACCTCAGCTAGGCATACTAGTTCATCAAGTGGGTGGGCCCGGTGCGTAAGTCCCATGGGCCAATAGTTCTGGTATGTGTTCTTTACCTGTTAGAATGAACCAATATTGCTGAAATATGCTTTTGGACGTATCTCTACATAACTGTGAGTTATTGTTTAGGATTCCCAGAATAAAGCGATATTTTATGTTTATTCTTCTGAGTTATCTATCTGTCTTGGATTGGACGGAAAGCAGTCTGTTCGTGCATGCGTGCAAATATTGAATAAACCTTCTCTGGTTATTCATTATGTTGTTGGCCATACTCTTATCATGGTTCTCCCTTGTCCTGTACATAGAGTAACTACTATGATGATTATTACAGGTATTGCCCAGAAGGCAAACTGGTGAGGCTATTCCCTGAAAATTCCTCTAATTGTCAGAGTCTGCATGGGTAGATGTGGTGTGGGTTATTTGATTTGTAGTTATATGATTTGTGCTAGACAATAACTTGTACTGCATATTTCATTTTAGTCCTGTTTTAGATTTGTTTTCTGTATTTCATTTTTTATATTTACAACATTTTATTCACAATTTTGAAACATCTAACAGAAATAGAGTTATAACAAGAAAGCAACTGATAATATGCAACATTTTACATGAGAATAAAATAGCCTTTATGTCTTATTTATTTATTTATGAAATGTATATATTTATTTATTAAATACCCAAAAGACTAGAAACAATGGCAAACAATGGCAAAGAAAGTCAGTGTCATATTTTAATTAAACACGAGGGTAAATAAGATTATTTAATTTTATTTACAGTATTTTATTTTTCCATACAAACATCTGTAGGATGTTTCCTTGATTCACAAGACTGGTACTTTAGGCGTTATTAGGTTTTTAGCACAAATTCTATATAGTGCTGCTATGAAAAGATCTGATTCTGACTTCTTATAAAGGTACGCTATGTACCTTGAAATTACAGAAAAGGGTTTGTTCTTGCTTGATGAATTCTGACTTATCTCTGTTAGTATTAAGTCTCATCATTTACAGTTTACATGGGATTAAATTATTAAAGTCTGTGGTAAACAAATACTTCCTAGTTAATTATAAATGAGTGCTCCTACTTAGCCTTACCATCAATTCAAATGGCTACATGCACTATACATGTATGTATATGAGGCAGAGAGCTAGTTTTGTCTAGTTGTTAAGGCACCAGACTAGACTCCAGGAGATTATGAGTTCTAATCCTGCCTTAGTCATGAAGCCAATGGGTGTCTTTGGGCTAGTCACTGTCTCTCAGCCCAACTCATCTCACAGGGCTGTTGTTATGGGAGAAATAGGAGGGAGTATTAGATATATTTGCTGCTTTGAGTTGTTTATAAAAATAATAAAGGTGGGCTATAAATAAAATAAATAATGTACTAATATACAATGGATAATTGCAAGTATACTCCAAAATCTTAGTTGATTGCTCCTTGCATACAGGATATGTTTCAATCCTATTTCAGATAATCCTGGAGTATTACTGATCTCCATATTCAGATTAAAATTATATAAATCTTGTTTTTAAAACTGTATTTGTTACTTTCTGGGAAAAATAGTCAATTTTTTCTATGATGAAAATGTTTTTTAATCCAGTGTCTCTGATTATGACTTTGTAGTCATGATGTTGCTTGAAGTGATACTGGCTGCTGTTTTGGGCACCATTATCTACTTGTTCCTGACTAAGAAAAAGGAGGAAGATCTGCCTATGGGAGATGGGTGGTGGGCTGCAGGACAGAAGCCTGATTCTTAAGAAGATACAATAATATGTCCTTTTAAAGTGGTCACCTCAGAGGAGGAGATCAAGGTAAGAAACTCTTTCATATTGACATTCAGCAGAACATGCTTGGCTAGTTGTACAAATCTGTCCATGCTGTCTGAGAGATAATGCAGTAGCATTTCTACTCAAATGCTTCTTAGAACTGCAGGAAAGACATTAAAATATGTGTAAAGTATTTCAGATTAATCTCACTACTGTCTCTTGACTTTAATTTGAATAACTGATATAAGAAGCATAGAAAGTTGCTGTCTTCATTGAAAAAGGCTCAAACATGAGACCGTGCAAGGTCCTGTTTAATCTTTAGAAAATGGGAGACAGCATAGGCTCTGCTGAATGGGAGGAGAAAGACATGTTAAAAGAAGTACACAATGGAGAGGCATCAATGCCCTAACCTTAACTCTTTATACCATGGAAGACATTCCTTTTGAGCCCAAAAGAAGGAATGCTTCTATTTCCAAAAATGTTACTTGCCACATGGCATATTATAATCAACAGGGTTTCATGATGCTCTTTTCATTCTCGGTCACATTGTGCAAAGCATTTAATACACTATTAATAAAAAATAATTCCCCAACCATAGTAGTGGCAAAGTGTATGATGCATGAGGACTGGATGTGCTTTATTCTTCAGCAATAAGATTATGTGGGAAAGTCCTAGAGGAATGTATAGGAAACTCCAGCAAGATTGACACTAAATCACAATTATGTTAAAATGACAACTTATACATAGCGAATTCATGGCAAACTAATTGAGAGGGCAGAAGTGACTGAATAAAATTTAAGTTGAAATTTAAGAATAAAAGTTTAAGTTGGGCAGAGTATGCAGATCAGATTTTTGTTCTTTAATAGGTTATTGAGAAATATATGAATGTAAACAAGTATATTTCAGATTGTAGTTTTGTAGATTTAGGGATAAAATAAAAATAATTTGAATTGGGACACGTTTTGTCTGAATAATTGGAAGTTTCTTGAATGGGATTTATGATGCAAGTAGAGAAAAAAGTTTAAAAGTGTAGCAATATTAACCAAGCAATAAGGGGAGAATGGGTGATGTCCTTATTGAATGTACTTATAGTAAATGTATAGGTTTGTTGGTTGGGGAGATATTAAAAATGTATCAGTTGAGTATATGATGTGCAGATAATGGCATATTGTTGACGGAGACAGAAAATATTAACAAAAGCTTTTTAGTGAGATGAAGTATAATCTATAACTTTTAATTAAAATGGAAATAATCATGAATAAAGATGTATAGGATAAAGTTATACCTCATCAAAATACAGGAAAAAAGTGATGATATTTTTTCCAGTTCTCAGGAAGAGAATAAATTGAAGAAAGGGGAAAATATCAACCAGAAGCTAGATACAGTATGTCTGATTTGGTTTGGCTTTTGGCCCATTTCTCAATAAGAATAATATTTGTACCTCAGTTTTTACCTAACAACTGAGAGTGACTTACATGGATTTTTTTTCATTTTGTCCCCACATTAATAATGGCATGTGCACGGCTGGCTTTATGTTAAGGCCAAGTAGACATTGACCCATGACACCAAAGATTAGGGGTGCCAACATCACTCTTCTTCTGAAAACAAAGGCTATTATAAAAATCTTAAATGTTCACACCAGCAGGAGGCAGTGCCAGCGGTCAGTGTGGGCTCAGACACCATACAACCTTGAGCCAGCACTGGGGTGAAAAAAAGTAGGGCTGCCACAGCCGAAGTAAAAACACTACTGGAAGTCTTGTCATTTCATTCATTCAGTCTCCAAGTCAAGAGAGATTTCTTGATTACACTACCCAATCTGAAAAGATTAAAATCTCTATCTAGGTTACAACAACCTTGTGGAGACTTGCATCTCGGTTGTACTTCACTATGTTCCTTTTTCATGTTTTATATATAACTTACATGATATATTTACTTAACCTTATTGCAATCATTAACAGGACATTACGTGATATCCAATTTTGCTTTTTTCATGTTATCTTCTTTTTCCTGTGTACACTTTGCTTGTGTTCTAGGATTTACATCAAAGACTTGACAAAGCTAGATTTGTAGAGCCATTAGAAGACAGTTATTTTCATTATGGGTTTAATGCAACTTACCTTAAGAAAATTGTCTCTTATTGGAGAAATCAGTTCAACTGGAAGAAACAAGTGGAAATTCTCAACCAATTCCCACAATTCAAAACAAAGATTGAAGGTTTGCCATTAATAATTACTATAGTATGTCTGATCTGAGCATTTTAAGCCACTTGTGTTCTTAGCATCCATGCATAAACTTAGCTATACCCTTTTTTTTGCCAGTCAATGCACTCTGGTTCTTCTTTCAGTTATAAGTGAACACACAACAGTTAGATGGAGCCTTTACACAAAACTTTTATTATATTTCATACTTTCCCCAATACAAGAGTTTCCTCCTCTTGTTCTCTCAATTGTCAACATGGATATCGGCATGTCCTTGAAAAAGGATGTGGTCAGCTGTGAATGCTGTTAATGCTCATCAAGGAAATAAGTGTGACCAATTGGCTATGTGAAACAATGGCCTGGATATATATGTGTGGTGAATAGGGCCAATCAGTTTGCCTCTTTGCAGACTGGGAGGATTGAGAACTCTGTCTCTGAGCTTCCTGGAATAACTCTTACATTCCTTTTTGGATGGTGGGGTAACTAAACTGAACTTGGCTTAAGACGGGAGGAGTGGTATTTCTGCCTAGCCCAGGGGTAGGCAGCCTTGGCTCTTTTATGACTGGCTCAGGAATTCTGGGAGTTGAAGTCCACGAGTCATAAAAGAGCCAAGGTTGCCTACCCCTGGCCTAGCCAGACAGTTTCAGTGTTGTCTCTCTTGCCCAGAGGGATACTTTCAACCACATGACTCTTTTCCTGCACCTACTTTCAGATAAAACATCTTCAGAACATCCCCAATAAATATACATGAGGGAGACATGTTTATTTTATTCTTTTTTAACATAGATTCAGAGGGATATCCCCAACTCCCATTTTTTGCTGGAGCAGGAAAATAGAGATTACTTTTAAAAATAAGTGGTTGGACTGAGGCTGGAATGCTCTTGCCTCTGATAGAAGTCTGAAATCTCCAGGAATCTGTAGAGAAATCCAGATAAATTGACAAGTAGAGGGCACACATGCAATTTGCCTTTGATATTTTATATATTTGTGTTTTGTAAGGTTAATATTCTTTATTTCTTTGTTCAAGCTCAGTGATTGAATATTCTAACATGCAGTATATCTGATTGTACATGAGGGTATTTTCATTTTTTTCAGGTCACTTATGAACTAAAATTAAAGTGGAACTCACCATCCCATCTCTTTATTGTTATAGAGGCTTGGAACAATTGTAGCCAACCACCACCATCTCATTGGATTATATTTTATCTTAGCTTGTTTTATTTTGAATTCATTTAAAGGCAATTTTTAAAAAAAAAAAACAAAGCAAGGCGCTCCGTTGCTGGAATCACAGTGCAATCCCACAAGTGGCCCTCATTTACCAATGACGGGATTGTGCCAAGCAGCCACAAACTGCTTTGCTGCTGGGTTGCATAGCACAATCCAGGAAGCACCTGTTGAGAACATGACAGCTTCTTATGGAATCACACCAAGAACCCAGCAGCAGAGTGCCTTGTTTTGCTTTACTAACATGAGCTGTGCAGTATTCTGCAGTACCAGAAGCTGCAGAATGTTGCAGAGCTTGCATTAGTGAAGCAAAGTAAGATGCTCCATTGCTGGGCCATAAGGTGCGCTCTAAAAGGTGGCTTCCATTTTATGAGTGGCCACAGTTCATAAAGTTTTTGTGCAGACCAGATCTTGTAGTCCTAAGTAGTGGCCACCCATGTTGTTGCTATGATTATGACTTAGTACTGAAGCCAGGCACAATTAGCAGGAATTAATATAGAGAAATTTATTTTGGAAACTCTGTCTTGAATTAACCTGATTTAGTACCTTGCTAACATTAGCAAGCAGATTTTATGGCATGTTCATTTATATTAGACAGTTAGAGATACATGTCATTCCCCCCCCCCCTCGACTATGCTTTCCTTGTGTGTTCAGTTTCTAAAATTACAAATTACACATTTTTGCCATCATTTTCAAATCTTGCTATATTTCAAGGTATTTTTTGTTACTTTGTTACTATTATATTCATGTTCTTTCAAAAAACTAAAACCACATTTTTGGTCTCCAGCAACCTTTAAGAGTGAGAGGCCATTGTTTCAGGCTGCAGTGAATTTCATTTTGAGAATTACAGATACTAATTTGAATTCCACAGGGCACAAACCAGCACTCTATTGGCTCTCAGAAAATTATATTATGTTGATATATATCTATTTAGTTATTTTCTGAAGATTCTATATCTATGTTTTCTTCCTGTAGGAATTGATGTCCATTTTCTTCATATAAAACCTCCGCACTTGTCTGAAGGGCAGTCTGCTAAGCCTTTATTGATGATCCATGGTTGGCCTGGCTCAATGTATGAACTATACAAAATTATCCCCTTTTTGACTGACCCTGTAAACCATGGCCTGAATGGTGACCATGTTTTTGAAATGATTTGCCCTTCCATTCCTGGCTTTGGCTTCTCAGAGGCTCCTCACAAAAAAGGTGAAAAAAGAAAGAAATAAAACTGAAAGGCCCAATGTACAGATAGTCTTTGACTTAGGACGACAATTGAGCCCAAAATTTATGTTGCTAAGTGAGACATTTGTTAAGTGAGTTTTGCCTCATTTCGCGATCTTTCTTGCCACAGTTGTTAAGGGATTCACTGCACTTGTTAAATTAATAACACAGTAGTTAAGTGAATCTGGATTCCCCATTGATTCTGCTTGTCAAAAGTTTGCAAACGGCAATCACATGACCCCCAGGACACTGCAACCGTCATGAGTCAGTTGCCAAGCATCTGAATTTTGATCACACGACTGTAGGGATGCTGTAATGGTTATAAGTGTAAAAAATGGTCATAAATCACTTTTTTCGGTGATGTATCTTCAAAAAGTCATTAAATGAACTGTTCTAAGTCGAGGACTACCTGCATTCTAGTCAGCCTTGTAGTGACTGAGTGGGATTTGAACACTGGGTCTCTTGTCCAAATCCAAGATACTATGAATTGTACTACCTTTATTCAATAACAGCCACCAATCACATGTAGCAGCCCCCCTCCCCAGTTCAATAAACATCCTGTGTGGTTATCTCACGGGTCGGCAACTCATGGCTCTGGAGCCACATGTGGCTCTAAGCCTTCTACTGCAGCTGTTCGCAGAAAGCAGCAGCTCTCTCTCTCTCTCTCTCTCTCTCTCTCTCTCTCTCTCTCTCTCTCTCTCACACACACACACACACACACACACACACACACACACACACACACACATTGAGTGGGGGAAGAGGACTGGCAGACCAAGGGCAGGAGAGAGCCAGCCCAATAAGAATGTGTGTCAGCTTATTGGAGAACAGCGTCAGGCCAGCTGGCCAGCTAAGCAGAAGATCGGAGAGGGGGAGAGAGGGGGGGAGGAAGAGAAAGAGAGGGAGAGAGAGGGAGAGAGAGAGAGAGAGAGAGAGAACTCATGCACAGCAGCCTCTATTTCTTTTTAATTAAACTCTTCAATCAAGCCCCCCCCCCCCCCCCCGGTGCGCACATGCGCATGCAGTTTTGCAGCTCCCAGTGTTTTCTTTTCTGTGGGAAACAGGTCCAAGTGGCTCTTTGAATGTTTACGGTTGCCGACCCCTGTGTTATCTGCATGAATTTATTTAAAAGCAGAGGAGGATCCTTCTTATAATTCTGCTTTAGCCAAGAATTTCACAGAGCTTATTGAGTCTTCTGGCAAGACTTAACAGAGGGAAGGATTCTCCTATGAAATACTGTATTGGTACTTGTGTTCTGGTAAAATATTAGCTAGGAAAAATGTTAAAAGTCTTAAATATGAGTGAATAAACAATTGCAAGAACAGCTTAGAAAAAATGGTCTTACTTGTTTTTTCCTTTTTTTCTAGGCTTTAATCCTATGTGTGCTGCCTGTATCTTGTATAAGCTAATGCTCAGACTGGGCTTTCATAAATTCTACGTTCAGGGAGGGGACTATGGGTCTCTGATAAGCACAAATCTGGGTCAGATTGCTCCAAGGTGAGATTTTTTCTTTCTAACAGTTAAATTCAAATCAGATTTATCTAAGCAATGCATAAACATGAAGTGTATTTATTCTGCTTTAGACTGTTGAGTATCACTGTATCATTCTGCTATAGACAAATTCATTTTACAGAGCCCCACTACAAAGAACAATAGATTTTTGGTCATCAAGAGATTTGAACTTATTTTTCTTGCTAAAAATGAGCATGAAAAAAGGGTCTTATCTGATCAAATTTTGGATCATGAAATGTAAATGCCATGTTTCTTGGATTATTACTGCAGAAGTAGCACTGGATTGATTATTAGTATCTTTCGCAAGTTACACTTTGTATCTTACCGAATAAGTTTATGGAAAGTTCTCTCTTGTTTTCTTTTTTCATTAATAGCTGTTGTTAAAATTATTCTTAAAATTATTCTTTATATTATTTCCATCTAAATCAGTGGTTCTCAACCTTTTTAATGCCGCAACCCCCAACCGGTCGTAAGTCTAGGACTACTCAACCGGTCGTAAGTCGAGGACTACTCAACTGGTGCAGCACCGTTTGCAGAATGGGACTTTTGGCGGGCTCAGCAGGACAGAGACAGCTTGGACAATTCCTATTGGCTTTTGAAAGCCAATAGAATTAGACTCTATTCAAGAGAGTCTATTCTATTGGCTTTCAAAAGCCAATAGAATAAAAGGGAGTAGCACAGCTAAGGAAAAGGGGGAAAAAAATGGCGGACTGCGTTGTTTGGCGACCCCCATGAAATGGTCGTTCGACCCCAAATGGGGTCCCGACCCACAGGTTGAGAACCACTGATCTAAATGGTAATTGAAGTTGCAGTACTATATTCATGCTGCACTATAACAGTTGTACTCAAAAGTGGCACTCACAAGCAATCAATTTTCTGCCTTCCAAAGGTAATTCAGAATAAAAAGGCTTACCTTCCCAATACATAGTACAGCTAGTCCTCAACCAATGACCATAATGGAGCCTGGCTATTATAGTCAAAAGTCATGATGGTTGTTAAGTGGAGCACCCACATGATCACCTCACTTATGAGCCTCCCCTTCCTTGCTCTTCCCAATGTGGCTGTTAAGCAGTTCATTAGGCAGCCTCAGGAGCCTGGGGAAGTTCCTGGGAGGCCTAGTGGAGGTTCTCCAGAGATAACCCATCACTTGAGTCTACTTCCCATCTCACTGGGCCCTTCGTCCTCGCTGTGCCCTTACCTTTGAAGATCTCTGGAGGCTGGGTTAGGAAAGGAGGGCAGGCCACTCTGTTTCTGGTACACAAGGTGCAATCGCAGAAGTGGCTGCCATTTTCATGGCGGCTTCATTGAATTGTGGGCGCTATGAAAATAGCAGCTGCTTCTGGGATCAGCCCACATAGCCCAGCAATGGAGGGACTTACTCTGCTGCCTTAAAGTGAGCTCCAAAAAGCTCCGGAACTCTACAAACCACTGTGGATTTTTCTGGAGCTCATGTTGGGGAAACAGAACAAGCCTCTTCATTCCTGGGTTGCCATTTTCAAAACAACCACAATTCAATTCTAAGTGATGGGTCATAAATCAAGGATTATCTGTATGTTAAAAAAATATCAATTCCTTTATTGTTTTCTGTCCCTATATGACCATGCAAGGGGTATCTACTGGCATTGTATTTTTAATATCCCTTAACAAGTTGCTTGACTTCGGAAAACCTTAACTGTCAATGATTGTATAAAGACAAGAATACACAGAAGATAGAATTTGCCAGATGTTGCACTGGAGGGATGTGGTCAATAATGAGAAGAGAAACCGAAATATCCATGGGGCTTCTTACCTCATCCCCATCTTAACACTCTAGCACACAGCTATCAGTTCAAGAGGTCCCTGCAGAGTAAGAGAGCCTTTTTTTGTCTGGGATATACTTTTGATTAAAAGGAGGAGTTGGCCATAGAGGCAGTGATCTATCAATGGACATGGTCTGAGAAAAAGCATTACTGAAAACAATAATGGCCTGCCAATAAACTGAACATCTGATTTCTTAAACAATTAGCCTTTCCAAGTAATCATCTCAAGCTTTTGAATCACAAGGGCCATCTTCTTCAGCCAGTGGTCATGCTATGTAGGGTTGATAGATATTGTAACTTATCACATCTGGAGGTACCACCTAAAGAAAGATTGCTGAGAGTCACATGAGTATGTCCCCAAAAATTCTTCAGTTGTGGAAGATTTATTTTCCATCTGTAATTACTAATATCCCAAAAAATCAAATGTGCCTTATTATGTGTGAATAATTATAAAACATAAATGTATAAATTTGAACAAACCACAATGTTATTGTTAAAGTGCCTGACTTCTTTCTAAACAATTGTTTTAGCCACGTGAAAGGCATTCACATAAATATAGTATTTTTGAGCACCATGAGCTTCAAGCAGCTACTCTCCATTCTGTTGGGACAATATTTTCCAGGACTATTTGGCTTCCAGGCAGAAGATATTCAACAAATCTTTCCTTTCAAAAAAAAGGTGCTCAATAGAATTCTTCTGGAGACTGGCTATCTCCACCTTCACGCTACAAAGCCAGACACTGTGGGTAAGGGAAGCTTTTGCTTTGAACATTGCATGTGCTTGTTTTTGCAAATAAGCCTTTATAGAATCAGGAAATGCACTTTGGGTTTTTTTTTATAAATATTTTTATTGAGTTTTATAAAGGTAATAAAGGGATAGGGTCAAAAAGGATAAGACAACAGGAAACATACAAAAAGGTTAGACCAGGGGAAAGGGGTAACACAAAAGTGGGATTAATCCCACAAAATAACATCGCTTTAGCAAGTCTACCAGTCCGGGTTTACATATTAAATCTTAATAATTACTCTATTATTAAACAACTTTCCATATAATCATGTAAATAACAAATTAGTCAATAAATCTCATTCATTTCATTACTTAACAATGCTTAGTATTAATTATAATCACTTTAAAATAATAATATATTACATATTAATTATAGTTTACCATATTATTTAAGATCACAAATATACAAAGAGGAAGAAGAAGAAATAAGAACAAGTTCATACAAATAATCATGGAATATAAATACAAATTATCAATTATCTCTTTAAATTTCATAACCTTTTCTCATTCTAGCGTGTTTCTAACCAATAATAAAAATTTCCCCATGTTTTAAAGTAAATTGTGTCTTCTTTCTCTTTCATTTCTAAAGTCAATCTATCCATTTCTGCACATTCAAGTAGTTTTGTTATTATAGCCTGGTCAGAAAATTTTTATTTTTCCAAAATTGGGCAAATATTATTCTTGTGGCTGTCAGCACATGCAATATTAAATACTCATTCTCTTTTCCATAATTCAAACCTAATATTCCTAACAAACAGAATTCTGGTTTAAATTCTATCTGTATTTTAATCATCTCTTCTAGCCACATATGGATCTTAAACCAAAACTTTTTAGCATTAGGACATACCCACCAGAGATGATAATAAGTGCCTGGTTGTTGTTTACATTTCCAGAACATATTTGATACATTTTTAAACATTTTCTCTAACTGGTGTCATGTGCCATCTATAAAACATTTTATATAAGTTTTCCTTATATGCAGCTGCTTTACTAAATTTAATATTTTGGTCCCATAGTTTTTGCCAATCTTCTAAATCTATAGAATAACCAAAATTCTTTGCCCACACTATCATTATTTCTTTCACTTGTTCTTCTTCCATCTTCCAGTTTAGCAGGTATTTATAAAGTTTCTTAATCAGATTTTCATCTGTTTTCAAAAGTACTTAGTGGTGTCTGCTCTTTGTAAAATTCCATTACTTTTACATCTTTTTCATATCTTGTTTGAATTTGCAAGTATGACCACCATGTTAAATCAATGTCAGTTTGTTGAAGTTCTTGCCTATCTTTAAGTTTTCCTTCTTTTTCTAAAATATCTTTATAGACCACAAGTTTGTCATAGTTAATTAAATTCGGATACGCAAAAGCTTCCATTGTGGAAAGGCACTCAGGCATTTTCATATAAATTTTCTTTTTAACTATCTCCCACTCTGAAAGTAATACATTCCTTATGGCATGGGTTTGGAAGTATTTATGTACTTTATTTTTCTCGTACCAAAGGAAATCATGCCAACCCAGTTGCAAATCATGTCCTTCTAAATAAAGAAGTTGTTTATTTCTCAGTGTGATTCATTAAACCACAACAAAATAGTGGCTTGGTAATAAAGTCTCCAATCTGGGAACCCAAAGCCCCCTCTGTCTTTTGAGTCTTGCTTTTTTCCCTTGCCATATAAATCTCATTATTGTTGCATTTAAGATCAAAAAATTTCTGGCTTAGTTTAACAGGAGCCGTCTGAAATAAAAATAACAATTCAGGTAGGATATTCATCTTAATAGTTGCTATCCTTCCTAGTAATGATAATTGAAAATTATTCCACTTCTCCAAATCCATTTGTATTTGATTCAATAATCTTCCATAGTTATCTTCTTTTATTATTATATATTTTGATGTTAAATAAATACCTAAGTATTTAACTTTTTTAACTATCTGGAGATTTATTTTTTACACAAATTGAGCTTTCTATTTTTCTAATAAATTTCTTCATTCTTTCAGCTATTGTTGCTGTAAATATTTTGTAGTCCACAATTAATAGTGATATTGGCCTATAGTTTTTAATTTGTGTGAGATCAGTATCATCTTTGGGAATCAGAGAAATGTTAGCTTCTGTCCAGGATTTTGATATTTTCATCCCCCAAAAAGTTTCATTACAAAGATCTTTCAGTATCGGACTTATTATATCTTGTAAAGCTACATAAAATTCCAGTGGTAAACCATCAGGTCCCGGAGTTTTATCTTTTTACAGCACCCATGGGACTTGAACTACTAGGAACTAGCAATTGAATGACAACTACTCAGTTTGTGAAGGAACCGCTAGGCTAAGCTGGCCGGATTTTTTTAATTACAGTTAGGTGGCAGGATCTAATCTAGCCAACTTTGGCTAAACCAAAAAGCTGAATAGGGTCAAAGCTAGTTAGAAGGTAGGTAAAATCCCAGGTGTGTAGTTTAGATTGAGAGGTTTAAAAAAAAACCAGGGAGAAAACAGAATAATTTCTGCATGTTTGCAGAGTCAAAGTTCACTCAAAAGAAGACTTGATGTTACTGTGTTACTTATATGTTTTCCTAAGCAACAAGAAGCCTCCAGGAAATTGTTACTTGGACTTAATGTGTATGGAAATTCTCAGTCATCCAAGTCATAGTTATCCCAAAGGTGCTTGTTCATGAGGCAAATGCACTTTCTTGTTTTTCTTTGAAGACGTTTCGCTTTTCATCCAAGAAACTTTAAAAAAGCATTAAAAGAATGCAGGTGACCAATTGTTTGCAAGGAGTATAAGTCCTTCCGTTCCCCACCATCCAGTCAGAGCTGAAGAGGCTTTTTGGATGAGAAGCGAAACATCTTCAAAGAAAAATAAGAAAGTCCAGTTGTCTCTTGAAAAAGCACCTTTGGGATACTTGGACTTAGCTTTCTTGTAGTGAAGTAGTAGCCCTGGAGTCTTTAAAAGTTTCTGGTAATAGTTGATTTATTTGCAAATATGCGAATGAAGATGAAGGCTCACAATGTTAGCATTGTAAGAAGCAAAAGTCCTGTGTGGCCCTGTATGATCTGTTCCTTTCTCATGGGAAGCAACACTGATTCACTGTGCTTTTAACCAGCTGGAGGATTTCTATTCATTGTCTGCCTTCTTGTACAGGTAGTCTTCAACTTACAACACTTCATTTAGTGACCGTTCAAAGTTACAATGGCACTAAAGTGACTTATGACCATTTTTCACCCTTACGATATTATAGCATCCCCATGGTCACGTGATCAAAATTCATACCCTTGGCAACTGACTCATATTTATGACGGTTGCAGTGTCCTGTGGTCATGTGATCACCTTTTGAGACCTTCTGACAAGCAAAGTCAATGGGGAAGGCAGATTGACTTAGCAATTGTCCTACTGACTTAACAAATGCAGTGATTCACTTAACAACTATAGAAAGAAAGATCATAAAATAAGGCAAAACTCACTTAACAACTGTTTCAGTTAGCAACAGAAATTTGAGGCTCAGTTGTGGTTGTAAGGCAAGGACTACCTGTATTCCGTATTTTCACTCTGTTGACTGTTGCCCGAGTATGAAGATTGGAGCTGATGACAAAATCAGTGAAATAAAGAAATATGATTCTCAGCAAAAGGGACAAGCACACATCTGCACATCACTGGGTACCCTTGCTTCTCTCCAAATCGTCAGGACACATCCAGACATGTGTAAATATGGTCATATTCATGTGTTGATAGCAGAAGGATGATGAGTCACATTTCTCAAATACCTCTGGCAATCAAGAAAGAAAATAGAGATAATTCATAACTGTCTGAGCCATTAAACAAGTATTTTTCTAGCAAAAAATATGGCTGGCCTAGTTTGATAATTACGGTTTCTTCTTCTATTTTTGCCTCTCCAAATTCAGTTGCTCGTGCTTCTACCTTAACACTGTATATGCAATCTATAGTGAGCTTTTGCATAGCTGTGCGTGAAGCTGATAATGATGTGCACATTTATAGTATGAAATGAAAACATCAATTGATAGCCCTTACCATCTTTAGATATTGTCAGATTAATTTCTGTGGGTTCAGTTAACCTATTTTTCCCACTTCTTACTTTGTTTCTAAGGTAAAGCTTCTGAAGTTCATCCTGTATCATGCTAACATTCTTCTATGATACTTTTATTATAAGTTGTTTGAAATTATTTCTTTCTGTGAGGAATCTTTACAATTTTTCTTTGACTCTTGGCTGTGATTCCTTAGAAAACTAAAGAGGATTTGGCTTGTGCACATATATATTTGTTTATGTGCTTACATCTGCCATGAGATTTCTCAAGACCCTAGCCTACCCCCTCTCCTACTTTTGAAGGACTTAAAAATAGTAAAATAAATATCTTAAGCCTATTTTGATATTTATAACTAACTGGAAAATTGCATCATTGTAATTCAAAGATTTGACATTAAATAAAAGAAGTGTAGTCTTGGGGGTTCTGACAAATGGATGATTGTTAGGGGGTTATCTCCAAAATGTCTGCAATAGTGCAATCAAAGTCCTCTCCTTTTGATAATGCTAAGGTGGGCCTTCAAATGCATCATTGTGTCTGCTACCATGATTGTTTTGGTCTTCTCCACAAAAGAGGTTAGGGAACCTCCAATGATTATTGAGCTCTGGGGATAACTACTGGGGCTTCCAGTGATTAATTAGCCATGAATTAGCCACCTGTGCTAGTATATATGAATACAAGCACTGCCATCCATCCAATTGAAGCATTATTTGAAAGAGATGAGAAACACATAACACAACAATAATAGAGTTGGAGGTCTATAATAGAGTTGAGATCTTCTAGTCCAACCCCCTGCTCAGGCAGGAAACCCATTTCAGACAAATGGTTATCCAGTCTCTTCTTAAAAACTTCCAGTGTTGGAGCATTCACAACTTCTGGAGGCAGGTTGTTCCACTGGTTAATTGTTCTAACTGTCAGGACATTTCTCCTTAGTTCTAGATTGCTTCTCTCCTTGATTATCCATTGCTTCTTGTCCTGCCTTCAGGTGCTTTGGAGAATAGCTTGACTCCCTCTTCTTTGTGGCAACCCCTGAGATATTGGAACATTGCTATCATGTCACTCCTCATCCTTCTCTTCATTAAACTAGACATACCCATTTCCAGCAACCGTTCTTTATATTACACAATGAGCTTCTTTTCCTCATAATAGTAGTTCTGCCTTCAGGGGAAAGCTGGCAGCCAGACAAGGCAGGGGCAAGTCTTGACTTAGCTTTTTTAGTTAATATGATGCAAGTTGGTTACAAGGAACATTCTTAAACTGGGGATGGGGTGTTTTTCCCTTTATTAAAACCTTAGATTATATGGTGAACTGCTAATGTTGGTAAACAGTATGCAGTATCTTAATTCTTTTGGAGTATTTGACATATGCTCTTGCTCCCATAATGTTCCTTATCACGTAAATGGCATCTGAAGACAGTAAATTGTATCTATCAGTCTCTCAAGTAGAGTAACAGGAAACATGACAAGATGATGCTACTACTAATTTTGCTTAATTAGTAATGAAATCAGATGGTAAAAAGAGATAGTGGAAGATTTCTCCTTTCAGACTTGTAAGATTCTGTTAATGTTAATGATTTGAAAGTACAAATCTCCCACTGTGTCTTTTTACCACCTGATAAGGTAGAGTGAATCCTTTCTAAGTTTCTTTTTCTGCCTGTTATTCAGTTGTGGGCTTCTCACTCTTTTATCTAATAATTTCCTAGGCAGCTATCTCCCCCCCACACACACCTTCAAAGAAAAACTTTCCATTATAATATCAGGAAAAGTAGCATCTGAGAATTATCTAAACTGAAACGCACCACTTTCTCTTTTTTCTAGGCTGTGGCTTGAATGACTCGCCTGTGGGATTGGCTGCATACATCTTGGAGAAATTTTCTACATGGACTGATCGCAGTTTTAAAAAGCTAGAAGATGGAGGACTAGAAAAGTAGGTGTTATTTACTACCCCCCCCCCAGTGTTCCTTAGCTGACTTTAATTGTCCCAATATAGTATCTATTTGTTTTATGCTGTTCTGCTACGTGTTTAGACACTTAAACGCCGAAGGCTTAGCAGCTCCACAATGCTCCTCCAAGGACTAATTATGCAATGAGTTCTGCTGATGACTGTAATTTTATTGAACTGGAAAAAAAGAGTTTCTATAGAACAGAAATACTTGGTTCTTCCATGTTCCAGCTTAATTCTAAGTTGAACTTAGAGTATGCAAAACCTAGTTTTCATTTGTGGGGCAGCTTTCCTGGGGCATAAGCTGTGGAGTCAGGGATAACTATAAGGTATCTGTGCATTGTATCGCTGCCCTACTTGGCTAATTTTTAAAATATGGTTAATTTTAAATAATTAATGAATAGGAAGCATTGCTTCAGCAGCTTCCAAGTTGATGCCCCATGAAATTCAATAAGGGACACTGATTGTCTCAGGGCTAGTACAGATTGCTCTTCCCTACTATAAAGCTGTTTATAAATTGTGCACTCACTTGCAAATTATAGAGCTAATAATATTACAGCATGGTGAGATAGATGAAACTTTGGCTTAGCAATAGATCAGGTACATTGCACAAAATCCTCTTGGAATCTCTCCGCTTAAATCTTCTTGCAAAGGAGAAGGATCTATGATATTCTTTAAACATTTTAAAACATTATTTTAACAAAATAAGGTACTTGAAATACTATGATTTGTGTTATATCAAATTATAAGCCCGTTTAATCTAGTGTTACATTCTACTCTGGTCAACTATATGCTCACAGAAAGGGAATGAGTCCCTCTGACCTACATTCTACAACAACCAATATTAGGATTCAATTTTATTTATTTAAAGTAAGGAGATCTGCTGACATAGGGTTGAAAGCTATACAAAAAATCAATAGGAAATCATGTTTGCCCATAGGTCCTGATTCCAGATCCTAAAGGGTCAAATTAATTTTGGATGCCAACAAATAATTTATCTGACAACTTCTTATTAACACATTAATGTATGCCAGTTAGTGTACATTCAAAGTGACAAGTTATTCTACTCTGTTCCGTTCCGTTCTGTTCCATTCTGCTGTTGCTAGAACCCACCCAGAGCACTTGAAAGCAAAAAGATTATGACTCTCTTTTTAAAATCTTATGATTTTGTTTCAAATGAATTGATTTAAATGAAATGATTTCATTTCATTCAAACCTTAATTTAAAAAAAATGGTTGGGATGGTAGTAGCTTGTAGGTTGCCTTGAAAGCAATGGGGTACTAGGGGATGAGGTTTATTAGGGTGATTATTAAAAGTGAGTACAGTTCAGAAATATTTGAATGCATTTTCCTTGCATTGAACGACACATGCAGCATTAATAGGCTGTAAGCGCTCATGTTTTTGTCATCTTCTTAGCTAATAAATTATTAATTGCATATGATGAGATTCAGTTCATGAATAATAAATGTCACAAACTACTCATTTGCTCTTCTCATTCTGGAGAGAAAACAGCAGTGACTAAAATGATGTTGCAAATCACAGCCCAAAAGAGTAATGTGATTGTCAAAGTCATTATAAGTGACATTTCTACCCTCTCGTTTCTTTTATACCAAATGCTATGGACATCCACACCTGAAGTAGAATCACTGGGATTTATTCCCAGATAAGTCTGCATAGCAGCCTTTTCCACTCTAGGACTCCAAAGATATGTTGGACTACAATAGCTAGTTGCCAGTTAGCGATCTTAAGTATGGATGATGGGAGCTGTATTCCTGCCCATCTAGAGGAAGCCAAGTTAAGATATATTTTAATGGTCTGTACAATCAAATAGGAAATTAGAATATGAAGTTGTCAGAGGATAAATAGGTAAGAAGGCATTCCACCTAAAGGCTTAGCCATATAATAATTTTACTCTCTCAGGGAAGATAACTTTTAAAAATCACAAATGAATGAAGTGACAACATTTGCAAGCAAGATAAATGTAACACCCAGATGGGAAGCTGAAAAAGGTTTCCCCATTGTATACAGCTGCTATGCTAACATAAAAGACAACAAACCCCAAATAGATTCCAAAGACATAAAAGCAGCCTTAGGATATTTAGAAGATAGAAGTCCTCAACATGTTTCATTTTCATATTGAAAATGCCATTCCCAATTTGGGATGCTCCCGTAATTTTGGACTTCAGTTCTATTACTATATTGGCCTGAAATTATGGGAACTGAAATCTAACAGCTCTTTTTCTGTTTATTGTTTATTAGGTTATAATATAAAATACAAAAATATGAAAGAAAATAATAGGCAAATAAGGAAGGGAAAAGAGAAGGAAAAAGTGTGGGGTAAAGGGAAAAAAACAAGAAAAGGCATTGACTTCCGACTCCTTTTGGTGCAGTAGAATCAGATAATAGCACCAAACCTCAACTTTTTACTTCTAGATAATAATGTAAAGTAGCATTTCTATCACAACAAACTTATTAATTGGTAAAACCCAAAATCAAAGTTTAATTTTTTTCCACGTCAAGCACAAAGTCCAGAAGAGGTTTCCAAGTAGAAACAAAAGTAATTGTATTTTTTTTTCTTTGATCAAAGCAGTCAATTTGGCCATCTCTGCTAAATCTAACAACTCAAGAGTACAGCAGTTAAGGAAGAGTATGATGGCTAGTGGTGCTTTGAATGCCAGGAGACGAAGAGGAATATCAATTGTACTGTCTGAAAAGGCTGCCGAAACCCAATAGGAGTCTGTTATTTTGAGTCAGAGTAAAGTCAGAAGGCAACATTTCCTGTGAGCTGTACGAGCTACAGCTTGTGAAAAGAGATTAATTGCAATACATCAATTGTATTTTTTCAGGAAGTTCACTCTGGATGACCTTCTCACGAATATAATGATCTATTGGACTTCAGGTTGTGTGGTTTCTTCAATGCGCTTCTACAAAGAACTTTTGGGGAAGGGTATTGGCATTGAAAAACATGAGACGTAAGTGATTCCCATATTTCTGTTTTGGAGTTCTTGCTCTAGAGCAGGCATTCCTAATTTAGCCAGCATACCAGTACAACGTCTGAAGTCTGTTCCTCTACCATATATGTGTCAGCTATCTTATGTGTGATTCTAAAAAAAAACCTCTTTGCTGTAATCACTGACGAGCTCAGAAACAACATGAGAAACAACAGGCTTCAACTGAACCCTGGCAAGACTAAGTGGCTCTGGATTTTTGGGCCTTCTGAGACTTTATCATTTTTGGTACAGGGATGGGGTCTGGCACTGCCAGATCCGCTGCATAGTCTGGGGGTCTTTCTAACTCCTGCTTAAGGAACAGGTAGTTGTACAAAGTTATTGCACAACTTTGTCTTATGTGCTAGTTGCACCTCTTCTTGGACCATAAGGCTCCATTCACAGTTACTCATGCCCTAGTCATCCCCAGGGATTACTATAATGCCCTCTACATGGAACTGAACTTGAAGAGCTTCTGGAAACTGCAGTTTGTTCACTTCACTAAGGCACACATTTTCCTGGAAATAAATCCTACTGATTTCAGTTCAGCTGTCTTAGTGTAGACAGGATTATGTTCTGTGCTTCTTTATTTTTTGCTTATGGTTTAGGAAAGCAATATTGTTGGGAGAAGGGCATGCTTTCATTGTTCAACTATGTCATTGCTTTGCAGGCTCCCTGTGAAAGTTCCCACAGGAATTGCCTCATTTCCCAATGAAGTCCTTCACATTCCTCAGTCATGGGCTCGAAAGAAGTATGCTAACATCGTTTCATTCAACTTCATGCCTCGAGGAGGTCATTTTGCAGCTTTTGAGGAACCAGAGCTCCTTGCAGCAGACATCCTACAGTTTGTAGATAAAGTAGAAAAAGCCACTTTTGACCAATGACGAAGAAAGTTTCTGACTGGGTGATGGAAATAGTTTTACCTTCAGCACAGGACTATTGAAATTAAATATGGGAAAAAGTGATTAGGGTTAAACTATTAACAATTGTTCTTAGGTACTTTGTAGTTTTGATTTTTCTTATGTTAATTGATTAAAATCAAATACTCCATTCAAGCTGAACCCATGATGAGCTAGTACAGTGCTGTGACTGAATGATTGAACAGCGAATGAAGACCTGGCCCTGTTTTTTGTATTAGTATTATTATACCGCATCACCCATGTAGATGGGCTACTTCAACAATAAGAGGGTAAATCCTTGCTAACAATCTAGAAACAAAGAGAAAACAGAAGAAGTGAAAGGAAATATCATCATATGAGCTCAGTGAATAGCTCTTCCCTAGTCACTCTTCTCTCTTTTTTTTTAAACTCCTGGGATGATAACACTGGCCTACCTTACAATACCTTATTCAGATAATATACCGGTAAGTGGTACTCCCTGGATATGCAAAATGCAAAATTCCAGGAGCACATAATCTGTTTCACGCTGAGCAGGGGCATTGAGGGATGTCAAAAAATATCAAGATGGCAGGCATGACCATGCACTCAAAATCCCATTGCTTTTTAATGCACGTGTGATGCATGTTAAGGGTTGAATCTTTGACTGTGCAGTCACACCTGCCATTTTGACTTTTTTGAGCTCTCTGTGGATGCCCCTGCTATAAGCCACACTTAATGGCCTGCCTTGACCATGCTCTAAAAAAGTAGGCAGTGGCTGAGCAAAGTCGTTGAACCTAAAATTTTGCATAGATAAATAAAACTAGTTAATATAATTATTTCTCCTGTAATTCCTAGTAATTTCTCCTTTTGTCACATTAAAAAAAATATGATTTAGCTGGATCTGTTAGAGGGATTGTATGATGAATATCCTTGCTTTGCATAGAATACTAAGAATAGTTATTAAGGTTATTAAACCAATTGTCTGATACTTCTGTCAGTTACTTAAAGTTCCTCCCAGCTGATAAACTGAAGACATGATAGACTGATGGAATAACTCATATCCTCAGCTTTGATTTAATGATTCTGTGCTTTGTCAAAATTATGAACTGAAAGCCAATAAGACAAGTTCGTGCATTTTTGAAGGCATATAAAATCAATTTTATGGTCCACACTTTCAGTTCTGGCCCCAAAATAAATTATGCAAATGAATGTATATTATGTTTACTGACTTTGGGGGATAAATTACGTCTCTCTGGAACAATTCTAACCTCCAAGAGAAGGTTTTCAATGGATATTTTAAAAATTATATGGTGGAAGAGGGCAATGACAAACCACTTTTTCACTGTTATCAAGATAATTGGTGCCTGATGTCACTAGGAGTCAAATTTTTTTAAAAAAATAGTCAAAGATAGAGGCAGTGAAAAATGAGCTTAGTATAGAACAGTGATGACAAACCTTTTAGAGACTGAGTGCCCAAACTGCAACCCAAAACCCACTTATATGTCATCGGGTGCCAGATGGGCATGCCCCATTGGGTGGGCGTGGCTGCTGTGGTAACAGCAGACTGGGTGGGACTAAAAAGTTCAAGCAATCAATTTCAACTTTACAAGATCTTTTTTTCCCGCAAGAAGTTGAAATTGATTGATTGATTGAACCTTTTTTTTTTTTGCACACGGCGGTGGAGGCCTAAAGCAAAAAGGTTTTATAAAACCCAACTGAAGGCCTAGGACTGGGGCGATGGTGCACGTGCCCACAGAGAGGGCTCTGCGTGCCACCTGTGGCACGCGTGCCATAGGTTCACCACCACGGGTATAGAATGAAGGAACTAAAAGGATAGTGTAAGGATGAAGTAGTGAAATTGTACAATACTCAAGCTTTAAAAATATTTTTTAGTCTCAAACCATATCTTCTAGAACTTCTGCCTTGCTTCTGAACAGAGATCAAACACTTAAGTATTTCTGATTTTATTTTTATTGTTCTCACATGTATATTTTTGTTTAGAATTCAATTGCAGCTGATACAATCTTTTGCTGATTGACTTGGATCTCATTTATTTTTCACTAACCAAGAGCATTTCTTGATTACAGTTCTAAAAGTTCCCCGGTGGAAAAGTATATCTTACTAGCACCTTCAGACATTTCCAAAAGTTCCCCAAACAATAAAGCAGATTTGATGATAATTATAGGGCATTGAAGGATGAGGGAAGAATCAGTGCAGGTCACTGTGTTGTTATGGCTAGAGTATATTGCAATATACTAAATGAAACAGAAAAAAAGCAGAAGAAGCTGTCAGTCTCCAAGCAGTCTTCCTTTCTGACAGTAAAAAAGAAAATTTCTGCCATCTAAACCATATTTAAAATTTACTCTAGAGGCTGGGAAAAATTAAGACAACGTTTGCCTTCAAACTTATATCCTTTACTAGTTTAAAAGTTTCAGGTTTATAAATTGCTAAAAATCATGGAATTTAAAGATAGAATATTTTATACAGTTATGCTTTAATAATAAATCCCAATTTTTGACTGAGTGGATTTTGCAAATGTAATAGTTGTATCCTTCTTCATAAAATATGTAGGTAATTGAATAAATGCACTTAAAATAGTCACAGAATAATGTATGTCTACTTTTTTAAAATAGAAAATGAATCTCATAGCACTTTTATAAAACAAGAGGGCCCCTTGAAAATCTTAAATATTTCAGGAAGGATAATGTGGGTTTGATCTTCATGAATCTTATTACAACACTCTGTGCAATTGAATTCCTTTTAAAACTATTTCAACAAATAGTTTTAATAGTCATCAAGAATTAACTATGGACAATAATCTATAGATAGCATATTCAATTAACATTAACTTATATTAATTGTAATCTTTTTAGATTGTCTTAGTGGCAGGTGTAAACAAATTGGTTGATATTACTAACTTTAATGGCAAAGCTCAGAGGGCAGTATTTTAAGTGGAAAAATTTTGAAGAAATTAGAAGATTGCTCAACAATCTTTTTTCAGTGAATTCTGTGTTCAAATTCCCTATGCATATAAATTGATGTAACACGATCAATTAGCTGTTTGGATTTTATAGAAAACACTGAAAATATAAAGTTAATCTTTCATTAATATCACTAAAGTGATATTCAAAAGTGATCAAAAACCTGTTTTCGGTGGGTAGAAAAATTAAGACAATAAAATAATGATGGTTCAATTCAGGTTAAAAATAGCAAAATATGAAAGCAAATTAATAATGTTTTCCCTATAATATTAATTCTGGATGTTTAAATGTTATTTTAATTAACAAAAATAATAAGTTCATTGTATTTCCAAGATCACATATACATTCATGTACATCTATTCCCAACTATTATATTTTCCTATTTTGTAGCTCTGTGTTCTTTTTTTGTTTCCAAATTCTAAATTTTGTTTTCTAAAAATGAAATTTCTTTCATTCCATTCTGTGTCACAAGTTTGTGATGAAAAAATGGGGAAAAGAAAGATTGAATTATCGTGCATGATTATCTACATTGTTCAAGCCCAATGTAGATAATCACGCACAATAATTCAATCTTTCAAATCATACGCAAGCTAAATTCAGAGAAGAACAGACAAGTCTTTCCGTTCAGAAGCTCAAGAGAGATCAAAGTGAATTTCTACAGATCCTGGCTCTTGGTGAAATAGAAAGAGAGAGATTTGTTTTTTGCAGATTTTAGAATGTTTAGTGGTGTGCTCTAGTAAACTGTAAGGCTGCCAGAAATGACATGCAAAAATAACAGATAATATGGTGTTAACTTAAAGAAGCTTTTAATGGAAAATTCTGGCAGCCAAAGATCCTAACTAGCACGGTTGTGCATTTCATTTCAACTGCATCTGTGTATGTGTTGATGAAAGCAGACTAAACAAAAAGACAGGCGTTAAAATAGAGAGGAGGAACTTCCCCTGTGTTAGCTCATTCTGCTGCACCTGCCACCTCCTCCTCCTCCTTGAGGATCAAAGGCCTTTTATCCTAGAAGAGTGAGGGTGAACTATTTCAAGAAGTAGCATCTGGTGTGCTATAGATAAGTGATGTTGAGGATTATCCTACAGACTCAGGGATGTTAAGGTGTCAGGTTTATATTTTCCATCTTCAATGTTTTATATTTCTGATCTTGGTTATAGGGCCTTTTGAGTCACGTCTAAACAGCCAAAGAAGGAATATTTTGAATTATGTTATTTTCAGAGGTTAATATTTCTGTTGTTCCAGTCACTGTTATAAATATATGATTTTAGTATAATCATCCAGGATCACAGAATAAGGTGGTTGTTGGAGGTGCTTTTTGATGAATAAAAGGCAGTTTTATATGTGAATAAATGTAAATAAAATCTTATTCATATGTACTTTGGGGGGGAGCAACTCAAAATCTGGCCTTTTTTATTTGTTCTTGAAGGAACAATTAATACATGCCCATGGCAATAAATATAATTCCTAAAAATAAAAGAGAATAAATTCTAGAAGGCAGTAGGCATTTAAAAATGGAAAAGCTTTCAGGAAAGCTGGTGGGGATGTAACAATATCTAGATGGCATCTGTTTATTGAAGTCCCACTCTACTATAGCTGTGTTATAAAAACTTCTAAGTTCTTAGTTGGAATTTGTTAAAAGAATTTGTATTAATTTGGTGAAACTAAAGTAATTTCATTACTTTATTCCAGTCCCAAACTTTTGTAGTTGGGGTTGGGAAAAACACTTGAGTCTCTGCCATCAGCGGTGATAATACTGAGTTAAATGAACTAATGAACATGTTTAATATCAAACAGCATTCTGTTTGTATCATTCCTCCTGTAGTCTTCCCACTGTTCTGTCATAGTAGCTGATATGACAAATTAATAAAGCAATAGATTCTGATAATCTGAGATTGCTTGTTCTACAGTATTTATGTCTTGTTTTCTGTTCTTGACTTTCCCACAACCTTAATTTGCCCTTCTTTGGCTCCATCTACTATACGTGATCTCCTGTTTCAAGCATGAGGTCACCTTCCTGAAACACGTCAACATGTAGTACAGCATAAATGAAATTAATGCTTTCTACTAGACAGATCTGTCATCTTACAGACAAAATAAGTAGAAAGGAAGTTTACTGATGGTTGCCAGACTTGTTCTCTAGTGAAGTGTGGGAGGCTTTCTTTTTGGCTTATGCCTTCAGCAGCAACTTCTTTGGACATGAGGGAGTCCCAGAATAGGGGGAGATACACTGCACATTCACTGGATGCTTTTAGAGGAGGAGGAGGAGGAGGAGGAGGAGACCCTAAACAATAGATAGGCTGGTAGTAATTAAAAGATGGCATGTATATGTTTACTACAAGGTAGTATATAGACTCACTGAAATTCATGAGGCATTAATCATAATAAACAAATCCTATTGATTCAAATATTTGGCCATTCTGAATCCAGTTAGAAGTTTAAGAGTTTAAAATGATTTATCCTTTAAAAATGCCCTTGAAAATAATTGTGGCAAATATTATACGGTTGGGCAGGTACTGCATCTTTGACAGAGTTTTGATCATTTCTAAATCCTCGAAAATCATCTAACTGGTGCCAGAATAAAGTTTTCCATCTTGTGCTAGTATCAGAATCAGAAAGGCATAAGCTTTTGTGAGCTATAGCTCACTTCAACAGATACCTGCATTTGAAGAAACAAGCTATGGTTCAAAAAAACGTTTTCCTCTTAATGAATAGGTTACTCTGAAAAGATGTTACCAAACTCTTCCTGATTTTTGCTGCTGCAGGCTAACACAGATCGCCTGCAACAGTGGTCCCCAACCTTTTTGACACCAGGGACTGGTTTCATGGAAGACAATTTTTCCATGGACCTGGGGGTGGGGGGGGGGGAAGAGGAGGTGAGTGCAACCTAGATCTCTCACATGTACAGTTTACAGTAGAGTTCACACTCCTATGAGAATCTAATGCCTCATGTCTGAGGCAGTGATGCTAGCACTAGGGAATGTCTACAAATACAGATGAAGCTTTGCACATTCACTTGCCGCTCACCTCCAGCTGTACAGTCCGGTTCCTAACAGGCCCAAGGGGTCTCCTGTCCTACAACATCTACAATCCCAGATAAGCATAGAAGGTAACAAACTTTATTTGAACATAACTCCATCCAGTCTGTAGTGCTTCAAATGATACAATAAGAGAACTTCAACATAAATATGGATAAGACTGAACTATCATTCTATTTTTTTTATTTTATGTATCTAAAGTTAGTAAAACCAAATGGATGACTACTGGTATTAATGTTTTAATTGTGGTTAGAAATGTGGATATCACTGAGGTTATCATCCTGCTTTCTGATGAATCTGGGGATTTTGACTCTCAAATAACTGGGGGGTGGGGGTGGCAAAAAGGTGGGATGGCTGCTTAAAGCCACATACAGATGAATCCCTTTTCACTAAAACTCAGTCATTGCTCCTATGTGACATATACTAGGTCCAGCAAGGAAAAGATGGAGAAATGTTTTTGGCCAACTAGTTTGAGTCAAGCCAGTGCTCAAATAGTGAGCAAATGACTGACCAGAGCTTCACTATCCAGATGAGGCTCTCTCC